GAAGCGCTGCTCACATTGCTACATTTATTTTACTTTCGTCTCCGGATTTGATTTCGTTTTCACTTTCACTTGCACATTCCTTCCCCGTAATAATAACGTTGGCCTGCTTCCATCTCCATCCACCATACCAGCAGGTGCCTAAAAAACGGGTCTTTTAAGAAAATCCATGCATTTTTTTGATACTTTTTCTGAAAATTCAGACCACGTTTTTTTGTGCTTAAAAGTTGAATATTTAGCTCCTGTGAAATACAAAATTTTCAAATATCATGTAAGTGCTTCTTCATATGCACATCAAGGAAATAGAATCTGAATATTATTGAATTGCTTTATTAATCTTGCGAAAAAATGTAAGTCGGACTTTAAATCTAACAAAAGTAAGATGAATCAAAGTATCCATTCTACAAGTTAGCAGGGAGTGAAGCATAAATAAAATCCATATCAAATTAACCATCCTCATACATAATTCTACAATAAAAATAATGAAAAGGATCAAGTTTGAATAGTACCAAGGTATTTAATTACTTTCTAAACGTGATTTTGAAAAAAATGTGAGTCAAACTTGAAATCTAACAAAAGTAAAACGAACTCCTCAAGTTAGCATAAAAATTCGCATCAAATTAACATCATCCGTCCTCACACATACATAATTCTGTAGAAAAAAATTTAAAAAACAGAAGAACAAATCGCTAAATTTTTGCCAAAAAACGCAAAAAACACATCATTTTTACGCCACCCTTCCCCCGCTTTCACTCATCCTCTCATTTTCCGAAAATGTGATCAACTCGTGAGAACCTCGCTCTCCTTTTATTCATTATTTAACTAAGCTGCAGCTTTAGTTTGAGGCTGTTTATCTCTCTCTTTCTCTCCTCATTCATTTGCTGTCTGTCTTTTATTTTGCGAATACCAACGCTGCCAAACCTAACCTACGTATTTACACACACACACACAATACATACCTCGTTCATTTCATTCGTCAACCTAATGATCCTGCTGGAAAGAGTGGAAATTTGCCTGGCCCGGTCTGGGCTTGGCGTTCCGTTTGGCGTACGGTTGAGTTGAGTTGATGCATGCCTGTTAAAGACTTTTTTATGCGAAACGCTACACTAACGGGCAGAGTATGTAGTGGAAATTTGCATATTTCGGGGATCCGGAGAAAGTCATCATTCCGTTGGAGGAAGCATTTATCATGGAACGAGGAGAGAAAGGTGGGTGAAAAAAAGTGGGATTTTTTTCGTGTGTTACACATGCAGCCAGCAAATGGTTTGGGCAGGCGTCTCAATTTGGGTGGATTGGGTGGATAGAGGAGAATGTATGTAATGTGGTGGTGAAAGTGGGGAAAGTTTTATGAGATAAAATGTGTATGTTACAGTTTTAGAGGGGAGGAAATGAGAGGAAATATGAATTAAAAGGAGATGTGGGTAAAATATTGATGAGGTTGAGATTGTGATCTTTGGAAAATATGTGAAATTTTTCGCAGTTTTGCGGTTGGAGAAAGTTTTTAATTTATACTTCTCCTCTTCTTTGATTGGACCATTAAAAATGGTACGGTTAACTAATTAATATCCCAAAAGTGCTTATTTTTAGGACAATTTTCATATTTTATTAGTTTTCTTTTAAAAGAATGATATGGTTATTCATGCGGCCATAATTGGACAAAATTATTCTGTAATAATAACTATTAGCAAATATGTATGTCTAGCCTACGTTACAAAAAAAATTGCAAAAAATTCATAAGAAAATTTGATCAAAAATATATAGAAAATAGCATTTTGAAAGAAATAATTTGTTATACCAAAGTTGAATCTAGACACAATTAGGTATTAAACTTTATATTCTACGTATTTGTTAATGCCGTCAAAAACTGACAAAACTTTAAATTGCAATGTACGCATTTTGGGTATTTTAAAAATAAGTATTTATGACTTTCCTATAGATTCTGGAAATTCACATTTCATTAAAAATATTTCAAATTTTATAAATTGTCGAGGTTTTCATGCCAGCAATAATATTTTAAGAGTGTTATTAATACAAAATTGAAAGTAGGTCTGGCACTTCTTGGAATTATAAATTTTACGAATTGCAATTCAAAAGTGTATAATAAAATTTCCCGCAATAAGAATTCTTATTAGTTTCGAAATTTCGAAAGAAAATATTTTGTCACTGAAAAGAATATAACCCGCAATTTTCATGTTATTATTCTTCATTAAAATTTTAAGAAATTGACATTTCATTAAAAATATTTCAAATTTTACTAATTTTGAGAGGTGTTCATGCATGCCAGCAATAATATTTTTTGAGAGTGTTATTATCCCAAACTTAAAAAGTAGGTTATAGGTATCGCACATATCAAATCAAATTAATACATACTACAAAATTTTATACACAAATTTCCAGTTATAAAAAATCCTATCACTTTCGAAATATCAAAAAAATATTTCGTCCCGCAAAAAAAATAATCTGTAATTGTCATGTTATTATGTATTCTTGGCATAAATTTCAGGAAAACTTTTCTTTAAAAATATTTGACGTTTTTAAAATTTTGAGAAGAGTTCATGCCAGAAATAATATTTTAAGAGTGTTATTATTTAGAATTCAAAAGCAGGTCTTGTCAGTCTTTATAACTAAGGATTGCACTTCATACATTTTTGCAAGTACATTTCCCGTAATAAAAAATCTTACTATTTTCGAAATATTAAAAGAAAATATTTTTCGACCCTGGAAAAATGACCTGCAATTTTTATGTTATCATTCTTCGTATAAATTTCAGAAAAACTTTTCTTCAAAATATTTCACATTTTACAAATTTTGCGAGGTGTTTATGCCACCAATAATATTTTAAGTGTTATTATTACTAAAAATTAAGATTAGATGTGGTCTCATGATATATAAGAATAAGAATTGTACTTGAAAAAGATTTTGAAAATAAGTTTCGCTTTATAAAAAGTCTTGCTATTTTCGAAATACCAGCGAAAGTATTCCGTCCCTGGGAAAAATAACCTGTTACGTAAAACTAGCTTAGTGTTTTTGTCAAACAAAAAAGTGCATTTAATGTGTGGCGACGATACCACGTCTCGTCTCGGGTATTAAGCAGTGAAACCTTTCCCACCAGAATTTAATGGCTCCCATCGTCGTTGTTCTCCCATCCGAAAACGGGTTGGCTACAGAAACCTGGTAGGCTGCTGCTGCTGTTGGAGTCATTCAGACCGAAAAACAAGCCAGACTAGGAGGCTGCTGCTGATTGTGAAGAATTTAGAGTTGTACTTGGCTCAAGTTTGTCCCATTTTCCCTTAAACTTAAATTTATGCCATGAGTAGGAAATTGTTAAAATAAGTGGCAAAGGAATTTATGCCATGGTCAAAATGCGGAGAAGCTGCTGCTGATTGTGCTGAATTTAGAGTTGTACTTGCTCAAATTTTGGCATGTTGACGAAATAAATGGCCACGGAATTTATGGCATGGTCAAAATCCAGAGGATTTATTTTCTGGGCTTTGGGCAATATTACACGACTTTTATACCGCGTTGGTTCACAATTTTGTTACCAAAAGGGTAGAGAAAGAAATTGAAATTTATTAGAACCGAAGATGGTAATAAAATGCGACCAAATTGGTCCCAACTTTGCTCGGTTATTAACCGAAAATTATAAACCGTGATATGAACACGGATTTAGAAACTTTATTTTAGTGAACGACGATAACAGCTTGTTTTCTTCGTTTACTTAAGCTTTTTTTAATTTATTTTTATTAATAATTTTGTATAACTATTAGAAAATATGTAAAATATGTATGTATGTATGTCTAGCCTACGTTACAAAAAAATTTCAAAAATTCATAAGAAAATAGGATCACCAGTAAATAAAAATATAACAGTTTTAAGGAAACAATTTCGGTTGCCAGAAATACGGATCTGCACAACTTTTCAAAGTTTCTCGATCCATATATTACTTGATGGCGTCAAATGTTAACAAAACTTCAATTTGCAATCACGCATTAGAGTTATTTCTTTTTAAATATTTTTTTTAAGTTTTAAATTTTGTTTTTAAATTTTAAATTTTTTTAAAGTTTTAAATTTTTTTAAAAACTTTTATAAATATTTATGACTGAAATGCTCTGCGTGTTCATCATCAAGAGATTATGCCATGCCTTAAAATGCCCAAAATTCTTAATAGAAAATTATTTTAATGGCTTACTTTCTTTATACAACTTTAGTATATGATTCAGATTGGTATAGTTTTGCATCCGGTATTTAATTGTTGAAAGAATTGTGGAATTTTTCTCTAATTAAGATTCCCATCTCAGGATAGTTCCTATTTCTAAAATACATATTTTTTGCCCAAAATTGGTAAGATTTTTACCAGGCGTTTATTTATTCCCATGCCCATTGTACAGCTCTACTGTCTGTATTGTAATGAAACTTGGTAGGAGGGAGCCCTCCTCCTACTCGTAAAATAGGAAATAAACCGTTGCAAACGAAATGTAGCAAGAGCGTGAAACCAAACGAGATATCCGTCCCTTACGTCGTCTTTCGTTAGCAAACGTCTACATAAAACGTGCGAAATTAAAAATTTAACATTTTCGACCTTTGACCTCGCCAACAATGTGGCGGGGTCATCATTCGTCGAAACAATGGCGATTTTTAAAATTCCGACCCCAAACTACGTTTAAAAGGGTCAAAACTTTAATGTCGAATATTTGATCGTTGACCTCATCACCCCGTCGCCGTGACCTTATGACCTACAACGCCTTTTACTTTTATTCGAAAAAAGCTAATTCTTTCAAGACTCATTATTCCTACAGACGGACGGACGGACACACAAAATCTTCCCATAAAGTGTCCCACCCTCCCATAAAGTACGCTTGGCCGTTCCTTGTACATACACTTTTTGCATAGAGCAGTCCACCTCTCTCACTCAAGCCTCCTCCCGACCCTCCCGACACTGCAGGGAGAAAGTACTGCAGTGTAGGATTGGATTCCTTCCTTCTTGCAGCCTGCTTTCACTCCAGCCGAGCGCACGCACTGAAGAAATATATGGACGACGATACGACGATATCGCATTCACGGCATGATCGCTGCCTTACTTTTCTCTACTCTACTTGGCTGCCTGGTCTGGTCGGGTAGCTAGTTTACTTATGTGTCGAGGAGAAAGCAGGAGAAAGTCGAAAAAAATTCCGTAATGAGATATTCCCACTTCGCAGTGTTCCCCAAACCATACGAGGAGGAGGAGAAGAAGAGAGAAAGTTGAGCTTTTGTTGGGAATAAACGAAGGGGAAATTTTGGGGGGAATTTTCCACTAATTTTGTAAAAAAGTGGGGGGAATTTTTGGGAAAAAAATTCGAATTGTAAAAAAACATCGACAAATTTGTGCTAAAATTACTTGCAAAAAATTTGTTCTGTGCAAAAAAATGTGAACATTTCAGAAAATATAAAACTGCTACACAGTAGGTGCTAAAAATTTGCCATAATTTTCTGAACAAAGTGGGGGCATTTTGGGAAAACAATACAAATTGTACCAAATATCGACTAATTTCTGCTAAAAAAACTTGCAAAAAATTTCATGCCGTGCAAAAAATGTGTACATTTCACAAAAAATAAGACATCATAGTGCTGCTAAAAATTATTGGATTCTTTTTCTCTCCCCTCTAAATTTTGCACTTGCAAAAAGTAATTGCTTCTCGTATGTACATACATACACAAATAAATTTATACATTAGATTTTCCCCTCTGTCTGTCTACCTGTCCGAATTTCGTGTCAAGATATGATTGGAAATGTGAATTGTAAACGTGGTGAAAGTATTGATCGCACATTTCGTCGAATGAAGTGAACATTATAAATTATTGACTTCTCTCTTTCTCCGTGTGTGTGTGTGCATGTGTCTCAATTTCGCGTGTACTTATCCGCCTGCCTATCGTCAAGGGGGGACACAAAGTTTAGGCGAAATTGATGTTCATGAAAGTTAAACACAAACAACTCGAAACTGTTTATTTAACTATCTACGAGTGAAAGTTTTAAAGTTTACAAATACATGAAATTTCGATCGAATTAAATTTGCGAATAGCCGAAAGTGGTGCAAATAAATAACTCGTGACGAACCAGCGAGAGAGCTGTAAAATAATTAGATTTATTACTATTACCACCGTCGATAAACGGAAATGGGAGGAAAGGAACTAAGGAAGAAGTTGCTTTCAGTGAGAATCTGAGACCAGAATTGCATCAATTTCTCGTCTAGTGTTTCTCCCGTTCCCACCGGAGCTGCGGAGTTGGATTGGTTTTTGCTACTCGGACCTGTTTTATATCCGAGATCAAGTCTGGGTATCAATTAAAGTGTGGATGTGGACAAAAAGGCTACTTTATTCGATCCTGGACTAGACTGGATTTATGCTGGTGACCTTTTCGTGTAGTGGCCGAGTTTCTTTTTTTAGGGGGGAAACGTGTCCCGTGAATAGGATTCACCTGCTGCGTATTAAATGTTGACATTTTCTTCACGGGAAGGTTACTGAGTTGAGAGAGGATTCTTGTGTGCAAAAATAAATTTGTGTGCAAAAAAATTCGTGTACAAAATCTTGCAGGTTTTAGCGGAGAGAGAAGAGGACAAATAAAGGGGAGAAAATTCGATAAATATCTTGACAAGGTGGGACACAGACGACAACAAGTTGATTCTGGATTTTGTGGGCTTTTTGTTTTATTTGGTTTGGTTTAACGAAACCACGCCCTGCCCTGGAATAAGAAGGAAAAGAGAGACAAGGAGTTAAAACAGTCGTGGAGACACGCTAAATAATGTGGGGATAAAATTAGTATTACTTAAGGTAGGTAAGGGGCGATGTGTGACGAAACGTATAGGTGATTAGGTATAGCGCGAAAATATTTCGTATTTTTGATTGGTAACAGACAGGTTTGATTGTTGTGGTAAAAGAGTTTTATTTTATTTCACAGACTTATCAACTAAATTGGTAACAAAATATGGTACTAAACTGATAACGACCAATTACCAAACTGATACCGAGCAATTATCAAACTGGTACTGAGCAATTACCAAACCGGTACCGAACAATTACCAAACTGGTAGCAGACAACTGCAAATCGGTTTACTCAAATTTTAATTACATCCTCAAACCAATTATTTCATAAACTTACTGCTCACCTATAAATTGTCACCGCCCGGTAATAAAAAAAGTCAAAAATTTCCCCCGCATTATTTAGTGTATCCTCTCCCAAAAGCAGCTTTATTCTTCATCCCCTCAAATTGTAACCACTTCTCTTCTCTCAAAATATTTATCAAAGGAGAAGACCAAAAAAACGAAAAAGTCTCTCTCCCAACAACCCAAACCCACCAACCAAACCAGAAAATTGCAACACATCAGCGAATTCCAGTAATCCTTACGAAGCCGAAAACATAACCAATACCTTGTAAACCTTTTTGCCTTACTTGTTTGCGCAATATCTCAGAAAATCCTAGGATTACGATTTAGATAGATTTTCACTCAACCAATTTTTTCCCTATCTCTACTTTTTTCCTTCAAATTGATAACTAAACCTAAAACATACAAATATCCATCCGCTCAAAAAACAGCAACCATCGGCCAGAAAAAAATAAAAAAGTATACATAAAACTATCAACTCATCCTTTACGACACGACCAACGGATAAGTGATTGCTTTCCGTGAATCTTTCCAAAAAAAGAGCACAATCTTTCCCCTGCAGGAAGTGAAAGTCCAACCTCCAACGTCCGACATCCGACCTCCGACCAAAAAAAACAAATCCGGCTCTCACACCACTTTATAATAATAATAATAAGAAGAAGAATAATAATCCATTCATCGCTCACCCACAAAAGAGAGAAGAATACGGAGCTTTCTATTCTCCCACTTTCACCTACAATACACAGGTTAGACGTGTTTCTCACGGATCTTTGTGAAACTAGGGCTAAAAAATCGAGAAACTAAACACATATATGTAACAGCTATTCTGGGACTTGACCACTTTTGCAGAATTGGCGAACTTAAGAAGGGTTTAAGTTGGTGTAAAAAACGCGTATTTTCACCATGAGGTTAAAACCGTATAATTTCGCATGGTGAAAATTCGCGTTTTTGCCGTCTTTAAACCTTCTTAAATTCGCCAATTCTGCAAAAGTGGTCAAGTGACACACTACTGTTCGTCCATTATTATTAGTCGCAACAAATTCTGAAGGTTACTTGGCAGGTTTGTTTGTCTGTCAACTCAATAGTTTAGAAATTTTGCTTACAACAGTTTCGCCACAAAATTATTTAAGTAATATTAAACTGAACGCATAGCCAAATACCTTCTCAGAACAATTATCGTACTTTTGCGCAATTGACAAACACTAACCATTGTTTGTGCTAAGTTACTCGATTTTTTACCCCTGCTTTTACCAAAATCCGTGAGAAACACGTCTAACATATCCATTATTACTCAGCCCATTCTTACCAGAGAAAGGAGCAGGAAAACAACACGAATCAAAGAGGACATCAATCACCGAGAGGAGAGAATATACCGACTGGGATCATTTGTCTGATAAATAAGTTCCCCGAAAATATTTGAGGTGACAGACAAGCAAGTAACCCGTTGAAGAAAGGAGCAAGGAAGGAAGCAGGTCTGCTTGCCTTGTGCTTTCTCATCTCATCTCACCTTTGCCTTTGCCTTTGTCAATTCATTACTGACTCTGAGAAGGAGAAAGCAAAGTCGCTGTTGTTTCGGTTCAGTGGGTTCCGAGGATAAAACAAAAGGTGAAAGTCGAAGAGGAAAACGAGGAGCTGGGGAACATTTAAGACGTAACTTTCACTCTGGGTGGTGGTGGTGGTTCTTTGCTGGTGATGGGATTTGTTGGCTTGGCGAGGTTCGTGGGTATGTAGTCGTGGTGGGGAATTAATGAAGATTGCGATATCACGTGGTGGTGGTGGTGCTGGTGCTATATCAGGATTCTGGAAGGATTGAGAGACTGGAAAATATTTACGACGGAGGAAGAAGGAAGGAGCGATAAATTGAGAAAGGTAAGGAGAAAGTGGGACAGATTTTATGGGGTGAATTGATAGAAATTGGGAGGATTTTGTTGTATGAATTGGGGGAAAAATGGGATTAAATAGGTGACATAAAATGTGACCAAATTTGTAACATGATAACATGGGAACATGATATGAAAAGTGCATTTTGAAGTTGTATTTCACAACAAAATGAGACCAAATTGGTAACACTTCGTGGGGAATAATATATGAAAAGGAGATCTTGAAATTGTGTAGGGTAAACTGGTAAAAATATTTTGATCAAATTGGCACCTAAACTTGTCTAATTTTGTACATGGCATTATCTGAGTTGGTAAAATAGTGATTAAACAGGTAACAAAATGCGATCAAATTAGTAACAATTTGTCAAAATCAAAAGGGCATCTTGAAATTGTATGTATGTATGCACTTATTGACTAAATTGATCAAATTGGTACCTGAACTTGTCTACAAATCATGGTCAATTGCATATAAAAAAACATTATCAAATTGGCATCGGAACACATGTTGACCAAAATTGGTAACAATTCATCAGCTTCAGAAATTTTATATCAAAAAACCCATCAGGAAATTGTCCTGGTTAAAAATTGGTACCAAAATTGGTACCAAAATTTGTAGCTAAACCTGCCCAACTGTGTAATGAAGTACTCAATTATTGCCAATTTCATACATATCAAAAGCCTTATCAAATTGCCCACAAAAACCAAAAACCGAGCAAATGCAGCAATAAAATATGCATTACCAAACCAAACCTTGATCGTGTGAGGGGCAACGTGCCCCAAAAATTTCTTCTTACGTATGTGTACTTAAGCCGGCTTGTGTCCTGTTACGTAACTTTGAACAACGTAACTTTCCCTTTTGGAAGAAAGTTGAGACGAAAATATTTAGTTGCTCGTGAGGAGACGGGGATTATTTATTTATTTTTCCTTCTAACGTACGTGTTTTTTCAAGAAAAACAGTAAAATTATGTAAAGAAAGAGGAGAAAGTTGTGACAAACTTTTTGGGGTTTGACGAAGTGTGATGAGAATTTTAGGTGGGCTAGACGCACTATTGTTATTCAGATTTCGTATTTACAGTAAAAGTTAGAAAAAGGGTGAGGATTGAGAGGAGGACGACTTTAGCTGTGAATTTTGTATATTCCTCTAAATAATGTGGGAACCAAAGTATCAAAATGATTTTAAACATACGATTTCTGACAAATTGTTACCGTTTACATAAATATGTTCTGCTGCCAATTTGATAATGATTTTTTTAAGCAAATGTAAGAGATTTTAAAAATAGGATGATAACTTTATTTACAGAAATTGGTAACAGAGTAGAATTTCGTGGAGTTACCCGTGGATAAAAAACTGGTATATGTATATTTATCATACCACAAATAATTGGTGAAACGCTTTACCTGATCAGTCACCGTCGAGGAACAAATTATTACCAACGTGGTGGAGTTGTATATATGCCCACACTCTTAGAAAACTGGTATTAAATCCTTACTTACCGGAGTACATATATATTTGACTCTAACGACACGGTAATAACGAATGGTCCCCGAAATGTTGTAGAAATGAAAAATTTACCGCTCAGAAACAGTCTACTACCAATCCTGTAGGAATTTATTACCAAACCAAAGCCAGTACGGAGTACGTACGTAACTCTACCAGATTTTTAACGGTGCAGGGAAAATTGAGAATTTTTGTATGGCATGCCCGATTTATTTACCCTGCTTGCCCAGAATTTAAATTAATACCCAAATAAATGCTTAGGGAATTTATTTTCATGCCCAAAATGTCAATTTTAATGCCCTGAGAATTTTACAAATAGTGATTTCACCCGTCCGGTGACAATTTTGTTACCAAATTATTTACAGTGTTGTAATGAAGAGAGAAAGTTTTTTATTTTATTTTTTAACTTTTACTCAATTCATTAAGCTTCTGTGAAATTTTAGTTGGGTGTGAATTTTCGAATTAAAGTTGAAGAAAGTGATGCATAGCGGAATAAAATAAGCCGCAATAAAATTTTTGGTGGAGAGGTGACGAGTCTGATATCGACCCGAGGATGTGGAGATGAGAGAACAATCGACTTTTTGGCTCTGTATTCTCATCTCACTTCCTCCCACGCGAGACATTCCTCATAAGTAAATGGTTGCAGTGTTTCGTATCGTATCGTATGAAAATGGGTCAGATTTTGAAAATTGGGTGGAATTTTTTTGAAAAAAGTAATGATAACAATGGTAAAATTGGGAATTTATTTTCTGGGTGAAATTGCGCCAGCACAAAAACGTTTTCATAAAATTTTTGTTCAAAATTGCTCAATTTTATGAAATTCATATTTGTGTATTTCATATGTGTGTTTCATATGTGTATTTCATATTCATATTCATATCCATATCCTAAAATGGAAGAGATACAGAGTTGATCTTATAGTAGTTACAATTATAATGAAAGCGTGAATATTATTTAGTGCGTTGCAGGCTTGAGAAAATTTTGAAAATTTTGAAAATTTTGCAATTTTTTTAAAATTTGCCGTCAGTACAGGGTTACATATTTACGTAGAGATGCATTTAGTTAGTTGATAGTTCATACATACGTTTATCAAAGTTTTTTTCCTATAATAGCATCATTCAAGGTAAATTGTAGAAATATTAATTGGAACGATATTTTTAGCAGATTGAAATTTCTTGTGGCTTTTACTGACACAAAAAACACACACGCAAAATCGGTATTTCAAACCTCATTACATTTTACTTCCAGAATTATTTGGATGATTTTCACATCTTTACACCTCGGTGAGAGTTGAAATGTGGATGGGCTATAAAGTTATAACATTTGGCTTATGGGGCAAAATTTCAAAATTGCATTTTCAATAAATCACTGCGTTAAGAAATAGCACAACGGCGATTCGCATATTCGCGATTCGAATGCATCGCATTCGATTCGCATTCTAATGCTCAAGATGAGTTGTCTCTACTTAATAAAAATAAAAACACAAAGAAAAAAATGTCCTGGAATGTGACTTTTGGGCTTTGAGGTAAAAAAATCATAATCTTTTCGACCTTGTCAGTACTTTTTCAATGTAGGAATCCTATTTTTCAACAAATGTAATTGGTCATTCCTCCCTGCTAATTTGCAAATTGTATGAAATATAAGGATGTTAAAGTCATCCAAGTAATTTTTATTTCGAATGTGTAACATTGTTTTCAAAATAGGATCGGACTGGACCGATAAGCTATGTCGGTAATATTTTTAGAGCGCATCGTTGCCAACCTGCAAGTACTATTTTATTGTGCAGCTATTTGTTGTTTCAGTAATGACATTTAAATCACTCAAAATAACAAAAATGTAACCTGTTAAATAGTGTTAAAACATATTGATGGTATTGATGGTATTTGCGTAAAAAATTTTGAGATTCTCTGAACTTGGTGAACATACGACTTTGCATCAAAATATTAGCTGTAATCAGTCCCTGTGTCACATTAGGAATAACTAATAAGTGTTATTATTAAGTAATTAAAGAAGTCTAGAAAAATAATATAAAGAAATTTACAAATTTTGCTAGAATTTGCTGAGGTTCACAGCACTTTAAAAATATTCTAGAATGTTAATAGACCAAAATGTAGCTAAAGGTTCCATTCGATTGAAAGCTAAGGAACAAAAATTGGAAACTAAATTTCTAATCCAAAAAATTTAAGTTGTTGACAGAAAATTGAAAATTAGAAATTTTATAGGAAAATCCAACTTTCAACAAATCAAATTAGAAGCTGAATTTTCAACGGAAAAATAATCAGAAATTTTACAAGAAAATTAAAAATCTTATTTTCAACAAAAAAATTCGAAACTGAACATTTTAACATAATATTTAAAATTTCTTTCATCAAAAAGTAGAAACTGAATTTTTAACACAAAATAGAAATCTGTCTTTCACTCAAAAAACTCGAAACTAAGTTTTCACCAGAAAATACCAAATCTCACTTTCACAAAAAAAAGTAAAAACTAAATTTTCACCAGGAAACAAAATCCCCAAATTTTCACCTCAACAAAAAACCCACTTAACCAGAACCCTAGTCCGCTATTCATTTCATTCAACAAGCTACATCCATACACCTTACATATTATATACATACATAAATAACGAAATATTCCCCGATTTTCATACCCCATCTCACTTTCACCCGGGTCTTCTTAAGCCTGGTCTAAAGTCGGCTTGACTTTCTCTCTCACAAAATTTCATACCTTTGATCCCTCGTTTCCACCACCGGCCCGACTGCCTACTTAATTTCTCTGATGGATTACTAACTAAGTCGTCTCCCTCCAAATAATCCTAATCCCACGGCAAGAACAAAAAAAGTGGGATATATACATAATTTTTTAACCCTATTTACCCACCATCCAAGCGAAAGCAATTGTTTTTATTTCATTTTTTTCATTTTTCTTCCTTGCCCACTTTATTTTCTCATCGTATTCTTTCCCTTCTGATGAATATTTTAGCAGTATTGATTCAAACAATGGCAAGTTTTTTTTCTTAAGCGGACGATAAGTCGTTTCTTACAGGAGGAATTTTACCTAGATACATTCGTACATATTTAGTTGGCTTTTGGATCGGAGGGAATGTTGGTTGGTGGTTGGTGCCAATTTCTGTGAATTTTACATGTAATTCGATGTAATTTATAAGTTGGGGTTTAGATACTTGGATGGAAATTATGGTGTGTTGGGCACGCTAAATAATGTAGTGGGAAAATTTAGGCTGGCTTTCACAGTGTTGGTAAGGATTTTGGTGAGAATTTGTGGAGAAAATTGATACTTTCACACAAATAAATTGCTCTTGTTATAGGATTTCGTGGACAATTATTGTTCGGTAACAAACCGGTAATAAATTTTTTACCAAATTCAGTGTTTCGTTTTTTGCGGCTTTGGTACATTTCTTGCCCTGTGAAAAGAAAGAAAAGTGAGGTGCAATAAACTGCATTAAATGCAGTGCATTTCGTGTCATTTCGTTTCATTTCGACACAGTAACAAATCGGTAACAATTTTGTTACCACTTTCTTGCCGTTATTTCTTGCAAGTGGTTACAGTGCACTCAAAACAATGACCACATTATTTAGCGTGTCCCTTTGTCTGGTTGTTTAAAGTGGGAAACTTCATATACATAGAATGGAAAATTTTACGCAATAATAGGGTCGTCTGGAAAGGATGTCATGGTGTATATATATATAATTGACCTCATGACCCCATTTTTGACCTGGTAGAGATACCACGAGGTCAAAGGTTACCAATAGAAAAGGAGGCATAACTGTCATCCTTTCTGCACGGTCCCTCCTTTTGTACGGACCCCATCACATTGTTACTTAAGATCTCGAATAACGGGGTTTATTTGTCAGCCTAGAGTAACAAGTTTCGACAGAGACTTGGCGCAAAGCGAGGATGCAAATGTTACATCGTTGCTGTGCTGTCCATGAATAAATAATTTATTCAAAGGGTTGCGATTCTCAAGTTTCGAGTGGCCGGAAAATGGAAACGCGATAGAGGAAAGAAAAGATGCGAATTAAGTAATCCTGGGAATTGGGAAGTAACTCGTTCGAAGAAAAAAAACTGTGCCGCAAACGACTTGACATTGTCTCATTTAAAATGCGAGCAACAAAAGATTTACTTAATTTAATTAGTTGTTAATTAGAAATAATGTCTTTCTTGGATGGAGAGCAATTAGTGAAAATTGGCCTTAATTTTCTTATTACAGTGCAGGCATAATTTTTTTTGGATCATCCATTTTTTTCTGGGACAAGATGACGATGACGCTTCTCTCCTTGTTCTTGTACGGCTTTGTCCTTCTGACGCCCAGCAGCGGGAGCCTGGTTAGGAGAGATGTCACGGAAAGTGGGACATTTTCGTCCACCACGACGCCGTCAACTTTGACCTCGATGGCGACGACTGAAATTACGAAAACTAGTGAAAAAGTGACGACGGCAAATTATGACGCCACGGATAAGGTCACAATTGACGATAAGGCGACGACAACGACGATGCCAACGACGACGAGGAAGGAAATGGCGACGACGGAGGTCGAAAAAATGGCGAAATTCAGAATGTCCTCGACCACGACTGAAATGCCGGCCGTTACGACACCCGAAAATCATCACACAATGCCCGTTCCGGAGCATTTGCAACACAGGAACAATACGGGTAAGGGAAATACCCGGGTAGTTACGTAAAATATTTACATACATGAATTATTTTGTCTACGTAGCGATTGTCCCCCTGCGAGGAAAATGTAATACGACCGAACAATGTTCCGGAGATCATACGGAGTGTCGAATTAGCATGTGCAAATGTCAACTGGGTTACTTACCCAGGCCGGATAATGCCGATTTGTGTGGAGGTAAATAAGGGGAAAATAAGTTTCTGAGGAATTTATGTATTAATGGGGGTGGAAGTAATTTGATAATTTTGTGTAGAAGCCCGGATTCAACAAGTCCAACCCCCACAGGCGGATCCGACCATGGTAAGTGTTAATTGGGGTGGTAATTAATTAATTAAGTTTGTTTAGGAGTTAATTTTGTAACGATTTTTAGATTGGAGTCGTCATCGGACTTGTCCTCATGTCGATTACGTTGTGCGTGGTGATGCGACTGTTTGCAAAGTATGAGATTTTTTTATTTAAAAAATTATATATTTATTAAGAGTTTTTTTACATTTGTAAAAATAAATTTTTCAACATTATTTGAAAGATTTTTTGAGAAATTATAAAGTTTTGTGTATCAAAAGCGATTTTTTGAGAAATTATAAAGTTTTGTGTATCAAAAGCGACGCTTGTAATTTTGTAAGTAAATTTTGGTTAGCGTTGTGTAATTAAGATTGGTACGATTTGATACTCCAGAGTTTTTAGAATGTTTTTTTTTTGCAACGTTTTTTGCAGCATTTTTTGCAAGATTTTGTTGAGAGATTTTTTAAGAAATATATAGTTTTGTATATGAAAAGCGATGTATGCAATTTTTAAGTTAATTAAGACGAGCGTTGTATAATTAAGATCTAGAGTAACCTACAGTTGGGATATATGTACAATTTGGTAACAAAATTGACACCGATGGCCATTTGAGATCTACACTTTGGTAATAAATATTTACCAAAGTTGATCAAATCCGGTCAATAAACATAAATTAATTTCCAATTTGGGCACACTCGGTGGTAATTTTGTTACATTACAAAAGTTTCCTAAAAAAATTCATTCTTGTACACAAATAAAATATTTGTTCCCATCTTTTAGAGCCCGATTTCAAGAAAATCGTACCATTTTCAACACACCGAACCCCCGTTTGATGAACGTATCGTTACTGAAGGGGTCTAAAACCCTGCTGCGAGGCGGTTCTGGTCCAGGCGGACAAAGATCTCGGCGTGGGAGTCAAGCTTCAGTGAATTCGGGGGGCGATGCTCCCCCCGATTCGGCCCCACCACCGCCTCCGCAGGCAGCAGGGAATAAAAGACCACGCCCCCACCGGCAACCCTCCACCGACACGGCGGCTTCTTCCGGTGGCGCAGGTGGAGAAAGTTCTCGACCCCCGACCGCCTCCGGGACAAATAAGCGATCCACGCCGAGACAAGAGTCGGTCAATTCGAATTCGAACGTGTAATTGAAAATTCGAAAATACTATTGAAAATTTCAAAATTTATCCAAAAATGTAAACCAAATCACCTCAATCATGCCACAAATTAAGCCACAAATCAATGCAAAATGTCTGAAATTAAGCGTTTAGTCCGAAATTTCCTAAAAATACTGAAAATTCTCGTCATTCGAATCCAAAAATTTTACTCGAAAAATTTAAAACCAAATCTACGATGGAAAATTTACTGAAAAAAGCTAATGCAAGCCCAAAATCGAAAATTTACCCAAATCCACACCCGAAAATTTCCGAAAATTATCAACCAAATCCTCTCCGAAAAAAAACTCCCAAATGAACCCGCAAATCCGAAACCGAACCCTTGATCTTGGAACAAGTGTAATAATATGACGTGACCTTACAAACCATAATTTAACTTAATTATGTAAATACATTTTAAATATAGTTATGTAGCTAATTCTAACAGGACTGGGTGGGTCGGAGGAAGAGGAGTCGCTTATCTGCCTACCTTATCTGTATACCTTATCTGATGCTCCATTTGTGATGATTTTTACTGAATCGTCCTCTCGTTATCAGGACCTAAATAGTATAAATTGGATAAGATACATAACTGTAAACTGTAATACCATGCGCCTATTATTACCATACTCAAACTCAACTACCTACTCAACTACATACATATATTCCTAAATACCTACTCACTCACTAACTCACTAACTCACTAACTAAAACGTACTCACAATTGGGAAGCAAACCATGTTTAACCCAGATTTTTTTTACCATGTTAGTTCGAAAGAGCAACTCTTTAGAAACAACGTTTAGGATTAGTCGGAGACTTTTGCAGGTGCGAAAAATTCAGCAAAAAGTCTGGGCGTCGCAAGTTTACAAAAACTAAGTTTTTTGCAGAAAAACGTTTTTTCGGTTTTGCAAAAGTTTGCAAAAACGTGCAACTGCTGCCACAAGCACAAATTCCGCTGAGAAACGGTAACTTGTGTTCGCGAATTTGCGGCGCCCAAAACTTGCTGAATTTTGCGCATTTTCGCAAGTGCATCACTAAATGTTGTTTCTAACGAGTATCTCTTCAAAATTAATATGGTCAAAAAATAATCTGGGTTGAACCTGGTTTGCATTCCCATTTGTCAGTTTAGATTAATTGCTACGGAGAAAAGAGGAGAAAGTGAAAGTGGATGGTCGGATGGAGAAAGCAACCGTGAAATTATACCCGTGAGCGTAATAATAAATGGCAACCTGACACTTGACCTAGGTGGCTGGTTATCGTCACACTCACCGCTTTTTCTGTCTGGATAAGCACTTATCTAATAATTAATTAATTAATTAATTTCTTAATTAATCATATCTAGTCATATCATTCCCGAGTGCCCATTTACATTTAAATTAAATTACTAATTATACACACTAATTAACCAAGAAAGTTGTTACGTTGACCTAAAAAAACCAAACCAAATCAAACCACAAGTAGCCAAATAGTGCCTTTTTTACCGACAACATTTAACCAAATATTTAATAATTAATTAATTAATGAAAGCTTGAAAAAAATTATCTTAAATCCGCGCAGGCACCAACCACCGGCTACTTTTTTAACCGTATTTAAACCACTCGTTGTCTTTGACCAGATTAACCTCTACATACAAAAGTTTGATTGCTCCATCCGTAAAATGACACGTTTGTTAATTGTTAGTTAATTGATAATTGTTATTTAATTGTTTATAATTAATTAATCCTGAACCATGCCTAATAAAAAAAATCATCACTTCTCATGAAAAAAAAAACTTTTTGGAAAACTATAATTCTAAAGTTTTTACACCAAAGAACCGAATGTGAATTGTATTTACTAACCAATATAACCAACTTTTTCTCGAATATGCAACAAAAATTGATTGTTTTAAGTACTTTATCCATGAAAAAAATGAATAAAAATCGTCGTGTTTTTGAACAAGAATGAAATTTCGGGGAGGAATAAATTGTGATTTCTTGGCATGATTTTTTTTACATAATATTGAATTTTTGGCATGAAATTGTGTACTTTTTTGTTACATGGACTTCGAGTACGGACTATTTTGAGTTTTTATGAAGTTTTTGAATTACACGCATGTTTGGTTTTAACTACTCTAAAATTTTAACTACTCAAAAAATTTTTCCATGATTTGACGCCTATTAAGAATTTTAAAGAAATTTATATAAATACAACAAGTCGTAGATTTACTGGTGCCGTAGTGTTACATATTTTTGAAAATTATTTTAAAGCCTACTTTACAAATATGTCATGATTACAAATACACTTGAGAATTCAAAAAAAGTATCGTATACAAATAACGTGCAGATTGAAATTTTCACACGAATAACTAAAATAAATCGTGAAAATGTTTGTCAAGCAATTTTCATGAGTTTTGAGAATTCAAATTTTTTCCGATTATATTGTTTTAAGCAATATTAGAATAGGATACGAAATTGTTTGTATGCAATTTTGTAATTCAATGTTTTCCTAGTCAAACAGCATGTATTTATTTTAACAACCTTAACCAATCTGAGTTTATGCTAGATTTGATGCCGGTTAAGAATTTTGATAAAATTTTTGTATCAAACTAGGATTAATTACAAGTTGAGTTTTTCTTCAATTATGAATTAATTACGGAAAAGCTAACGCGGGACTTTATATATATTTGTGAACGTTTTTTTTCAAGAAATTACTTGGAACGATTTCGCTTTAGCAAATTAATAAAATAGAAAAAGATGAAATTAAATTAAATTAAATTAAATTTGTCAGAAAGATTATTTCAGTAATGTAGTTGGTCAATGCCACTTGAGAATTTAATGAAAATATGAAATTTTATAATGACTTAGGTTTGAGATTTTTCAATGCATAAAAAGTGTATCGAGTACAAAAGAATTATACTTTTGATAATTTTTTAGATCAATTTTATCTGCTTGAAAAAATCGTATTAAAGTTGATGCCAGAATTTTTGAAAAATTTATAATGTTGTATATAGATTACAAAGTAATATTTACCCACAATTATTAATTTTTTAAAGTCAAAAGTCAATCAAACATCCGCCAATTCAGTCATCGGTATCGCAAAAAACATGCCAAAAACGACGAGGAACGCTCCGATTTTTTTGCATCTCAATTTCTAATTTGCAAATCTGGATCAAGCAATATTTTCGCAGTAATCGAAATTATATGAATGTGATATAACTCGACCCGAATTATTTTATATGCAGGTCTCTACCTGAAAGTTGTTCAATATAATGAATAATTTCCAGTGAAATTTTATTTACCACTTTGTCGATTTATTTGCAATAATGGGGAAAAAAGATTTTGTTTAATTGTCCATAAATATTCTTTTTGTACTTTGTTCCATTGTTATTTTCCAGGTTTGTGCATAATTTGTGAAAACATGAAAACTTTTCTACAATTTTTTTTACGTAATATTGGAATTTTTGAATTACAGATTACTTGATTCAACATCCATATTTTAACGACCCTAGAAATCCCACTTTAAAAAATTATAGTTTAATGCCGGTTGAGAATTTGGGAAAATTTCATAATGTTAATAAATCGAATCGCAGATTTCGTTAATCTTCTTTCGAATAACATTTTAATAACTTGGAAAAACGAATCTTATGCCAAGATTAGATGCCATTTGTGAGTTTTCAATAAATAAATAAATTGTGAAAATGAGCTGCAGATGAGATTTTTGATTACATGAAATAATTGGAAAAATGTGAATCTCCGTGAATTTCAAAAATTAAAATATTTCCCCAATGATCTCGTTTTGAAGAATAGAATACAATATGAAGTTTTGTGTGAATTTTTAACTCAATGTTTTCATTGTCAAATAGAAAGTTTCAACGCCCTTTATAAATCTGAGTTTAGGCCATATTTGACGCCGGTTAAGAATCGTGACAAAATTTATGCTTGTAGTAAAATTGAAGGTGTTGATTTAGTTGATGCTAAGACTAATATGAAAAAAATAATAATAGTTGCGAAAATTTGGCTTTAGAAAGACATTCCGTTTTTTTTCCAGCTTTTTTTCAAAAACTTGCCTGAAATGACACCCAAACAAATTGTCAAATATATCAATAAAGCTTGGTATCTATTAAGACGATCGTATTGGGCTAAATTTCGATGAATTATAAAACGATGAAGCCCACGAACGATTTTTCTGATTTTTTTATACGATATCAAACAACTTTCAAACTACCATTCCTGAAAATTTCAGCAATGGTACATGCCCACAAGTGGAGAAACAAATATTCTCCTGGGCTATGTTTAACACGTATTTAGATAGGCCAAAAACAAAAACGCAAATTAAAATACGAAGCCCACGAACGATTTTGTAAATATTTGCATATGTTGATGATCATACTATTGGTGATTTTTCATCAAAGAATTTAAGATGGTACATTTCTAGATTTCGAGCAATAAATTCAAATGCATCAAAAAACAGGGAATAAAATGGAAACCATGCAAAATTACCACAGGTATTAATAAAATGGTAACCATGTTGCGCGTTGCTACAATTTTGCATAAAATTTCCAATGTTTATAAACCAAAGCCCGACAAGAAAAAAACATTGATTACATTCATGGGTTGGAAGTGACTCAAACAGGACCCTTGGAGTTATAGTAGACATGCTGAATAATTGTTTGATAGTATAATTTGCCAACTCGCCAAGTTTGCAGTTAATCGGGGTTCATTTGACAAAGTTGAAAATGAACAGACAGACGAACAGACAGACTGGCAAAACGGTTCCCCAAGTCTTAAATCGGGGTAAGAATCATTGAGCTCTATTTACCAATCAAAAACCACTGACAACCAAACGAATTTTGATAAGATATATTAGCCCAAAAAATCGCCTTAATTTCTTATCAAAATAATTCAAAACTCATCGAAATTTAGCCCAAAACGATCACCATAACAGATACCCTTCTTTATTTTTGTACCTTGTTCCATTGTTATTTTCCAGGTTTGTGCATAATTTGTGAAAACATGGTGCAATTTTCTTGCAATTATTTTGAGTATGATTTTTGGCATGAAATTGTGTGTAATTTGCAAAATAGCTTTTATTTATTAATAATAGGACGTCTTATCTTCAATCTCCGAAGACCGGAAAACTCGGTAATCAGCCCAGGAAGTCAGAATAATAATAAAATTGTGCAAAGCTAACGACATAATAATGATGATTGCTTGTTTGTTGTGTTGGGTGAAAGTTGCGAAAAATAAATTCGGTGTGAATTTGCGAATCTCAATTTGCCCCAATTTGCACCCTTTCTTCCCGAATGCTTCAAGTTTGCGAGGATTAGTTGTTGTTTGTTTGTTGTAGGTTTTATTTCGTGTAAAAATGAATTCTTCGTAATTTTGCACGTCGTCATCATGTTAGTCATTTGATTGTTGTTGAAAAGAAGTTGTTGAATCGTTGATTGTGCGAATTAGAGAAACAAATTTTTTGCAAATTTGGCAAAATTTTGTTAAAGGTTGGATAAGCGTTTTGGTGAAAATAAATAAGGTGATGGGAGACTTTGGGGGGATGAATGCCCAAGGGGCCCCAACCAGTGCGGATGCTTGCTTATCTATCGTCCACTCTTTGATGTGTCATCGTCAAGGGGGCGAGTCGGAAAGTTTTGCGAAAAGAGCGATCGAAAGTTTGGTCAAGAAATTAAAGGTAAACAAAATTTTGTTTTGGAAAACTTAAATTTTGGAGTGGTTATGAAATTGTATTTTTTGTTTAAAAATTAAGGAAAAACGCGACGAATTGGACAGTTTGATTGCTGCCATTACAACAAATGGTGCCCAGCCGAGTAAATGTGTCACAATTCAGAGAACGTTGGACGGTCGGTTGCAGGTATTTTTGTAAAGTTTTAATTTAATTAATTATAAAGTTGAGTTAATTTAATGGAAATAATGTACTTATATTTTTAGGTCGCTGGCCGGAAAGGATTTCCACACGTTATCTACGCCCGAATCTGGCGATGGCCGGACCTTCACAAAAATGAGTTGAAACACGTGAAATATTGTCAATTTGCGTTTGACCTCAAGTGTGATTCCGTCTGTGTTAATCCTTATCATTACGAGAGGGTCGTCTCTCCAGGAATTGGTAAGTATAGTTAATTAATTATTGATTAATTAATTGTGCATGCAAAGTTTACAAAATTGTGCTTTTTCCAGACTCGTCATTGTCAAGAGATCACTTTGGCTCGTTCGATACGACATGCAAAAGTATGAAAATGAGTAAAATTCGGTAAAAATTCATCCCGAATTAATACCAATTTTCAAAATTTTAGACCTCTCCGGTTTAAGCATCCAATCGCCCGGTGGGAGCACCCGGATTAAAGATGAATACTCCGCTGGAGGAAGTGGCGGTCCTTCCTCTGTCGAATCTATGATGGACCGTGGCGGTCGTCAGCCCATCAGTCTAAACGTGAACACCAGCAGTGGGGGTGGGATCGCGTCGGTCGCCTCATCAGATTCAGGACTCATGTCGCCGGGAGGTCCGTCGACGTCGTCGTCCATCTCGAATAATAATATTCAAGGCGCAAGTAGCTCTTCGATACAGTCGCCGACCGTGCAACATCATCCGCCTCAACCGCCGGGGCCTACATATGCCTCACAACGAGGTCCAGGACCCGGGGTGCATGCCGGACTTTCTGTCCAGGTGGGAGGAGATTCTTCTGGAGGTGGTACTTCGGTCGTAGGTTTGGTTGGGATTGGGGCGACGTCCCCGCTCGTGGGGGGTCCAATTCAAAACACGCCAAGTGGTCCGGTCGGGTCGATTATTGGACAGGATGGGAACGGATTCTTTTCTGGGGGAGGTAATTAATTAGTTTATTATGGAAATTTAATACTTCTTGTTTTATTCTTAAAATTTCTCCTAAATTTACAATTAAAAAAAAATCTAAAAAAACGTTCAGGTCGTTCCCAGTACAATCAAGGAGTCGAATTTGGAAATTCTGGCGTCGTCCCCGTCGTGCCATCCGCCTCGACGAGTCACTCATCCTCTACTTCCACTGGGATCGCGGTAACTACCGTGACGAACAATTCAGCTGGGAACAGTACCTATAATTCTCCCTCGTCCTGGAGTGGGGGCGGTCCTACGAGCACGTTACAGTACACGCAGACCATGCAGCAACCCATGTCTGATATTCGGACTCATCCCGGATACCGTACGTTGCAATGAACATGCTATTTAATTTATATTTTAATTATTTAATTGTTAACTAATCATTAGCATACCCCGGACAAATATTTTTTTATCCTACCCTACTCATGTTGAGCTCAACACGAGTAGGGTAGGATAAAAAAATATTTGTCCGGGGTATGATCATTAGCCCTCCATCAACAACAAATATATCACGACGATAACATAAGAAGTGGCGGACCAATGTTGTCGGCCCAACCGCAGCCAGAATTTTGGTGTTCGATTGCATATTTTGAGCTGGATACGCAGGTACAAACTTTAATTTAGTCAAGTGAATAATAATGCAATGTTAATTATTCGTGATTGATGTTTTGTTTCGACAGGTTGGAGAAACGTTTAAAGTCCCATCGAGCTTGCCAAGTGTTACGATTGACGGATATGTCGTAAGTGATGTTTATAAAGAATTCAAAGACAAAACATTTGCAAATTAATTTTGCACAGTAAAATTCGCACAGTACACTAAAAAGTATTTTATATTTTGTGTGTTTAGGATCCTTCTGGCGGAAATAGATTTTGTCTCGGCGCACTGAGCAATGTGCATCGAACAGAGCAGAGCGAAAAAGCGAGGTATTTATTATACATGGTTATCAAATCATGATCCATAATTAAAATAATTATCGTTCCAACTCAGACTGCACATCGGAAAAGGGGCACAACTCGAGTTGAAAGGGGAAGGTGACGTCTGGCTGCGCTGCATGTCTGACCACTCCGTCTTCGTGCAGAGTTATTACCTCGACCGTGAAGCGGGGCGCGCTCCGGGCGATGGTGAGTCAGGAGTACATAAAAGATTGAATGCGTTGGACAGGAGATAAGAGCGAAGAAAGTAACCATATGTTTGAGGGACGTATGAAGGCAAATAAATGCAATGCCTTTATTTATATATCAACATTAAAACTCATATTATCGGTATGCTCAACTAAAACAGTAAGGGATTTTCCCGTTAAAAGCTTAAAAACTGCCTGTACAAAAGCTCTGTCCCCTTTCTCAATAGTTTGTACATTCTCGTATTTCTTATTGTCCCTTTGAATGAGGATGCCATTGTAGGATTGGCCCTTCATTTCTGCAAGAACAAGAGCTGCATGACCCAATCCCTCCTTCCTTGTGCAATCTTGTTTCACCACATCGAATAGATCCCTCTGCTGATCCGTCCACTGTTTAAAAGATTTAGTTGTGCCAATGTTATTTGCAATCGCTAGCTGCTCATCTGACAGGGGGGTTTGGTAGATGGGTCCTGATTTGAATTGGTCACTACTACATTAGAGAAACAAGCATTTTAGCATGATAAATTGATTTAGATATATGCAAGTATGTAAACTAACTGGGTGTAAGCAGAATGATCCTCCTCTTCCCTCCTCCTGGACGTTTTCAATCCAACATTGACTTTGTTGTTGGATTCTACTCCACAATATACCCTAGGTAGTTTTGAACAATATCGATCTTTGTTGATTAATGGGGAGCTGCTATCATCATCATCATATTCCACGGTGAAAGCCACTCCATTCTCTTCCAAAATCTTTTCCACCACAGCCAAATTAGCGTTGGACATAACTAACTGTTTATGTAAGAACGAATGCGGTCTGATGGGTGCATCTGATTCGATTTTTTCCATGTTTCTGAACAATGTGATGAGCGCGACTGACAACTACAAATACAAATACAACTGTTATTAACTTTTTACACACTTAAATCGGTAACTTACTGTGATGGAATGCTGGACAGGGAGTCGTTCCGGAGAGGAGAGAAGAATAGATTTTTCATAGATAGGAGTGAATTGTGCGTTACGATGATCCGACAGGTATTTTTGTAGGGGAATGCTGTTGTAAGCATATTTTTTAACTAGGTCTGACGTCCATTCTGTTTTCTTCACGCTCATAATGTTTAACGCCGCATGATAATGAAAGGTCTTCTCATTAATGTCACGCAAAACGGCGACAGTTTGACATCGGTTTGCTGAATGGTTATTACACAAAAAGCCTTCTGATGTTTCCTTCGACCAACATTGTTTGCATTTTTTGAGATGAGGGAATCCTTTTTGCATAGTGCCGTAACACAACGTTGATCCGTTCCAATGTAAAGGAATGAATTCATCCCACTTGTTTTCTCCGACATCGTCTTTTTGGGGGGTTTTCGCACCTTTGGTTGGGGTTGTTGTGGGTGTAGCTGATTTCCTCTGAGTTGACTTATGAAGTTGGACTGGGAAAAACTTTTCGACTCCTTTTTCTTTATGAATATTATAGTGACTCCTCCATTCCCCCATTAGCTCAAAAAATAGGGGATGTTTGTCGATTTCTTCATCCTTTCCAACAAAACCTCTTTGAACAAGAACACTTTTCACATAGTCGAATATTGTTCGGATATCACTCTTCCTTGGTAGTTTGAATTTTGGGACGCTATCCCCTTCGTCGTCCAACTCTCCAGCACCAAAGTCCGAATCAGAGGAATATGTCGTTGAGGAGGGCGAAGGTGTTGCTGTAAAGGGAGAAGGAACTGTTGATCTGGGTGAAGAAATGGATGGAGAAAACGGCGACTGAGGTTGAGCGAACAGTGGTTGAACAATTTTCTACGATAAACAGATAATGATGAATAATAGTTCATTCAGTTGTGCATTCCATAACTATTTACTCACATATCCAACTAATCTCGAAGCAAGATGTCTCGTCAATTCATCCACGTTGTTGCCAATCCGTTTGAGATGAACATCTGGATTTGTGGGTGGCTCGTAGTCCGCATCAATAGGGTTCATGACTACACAAACAAAATAAAGTCAAAATGAGTCAAAATCCAATTTAATGCATGACCCAAAGTTTTACCATTTCTACTCAGGCCAGATTCTGCATCACATTCCGATCTTGACCTATCCACAAAGACATCTACAAACTTTAGTCCATCTCGCTCATGAGAATCTCTGGCTTTCTGTCTGTCCTAAAAATACATGCATAAAATGCATAAAATTAGCAACCTAATCATGCAATATCACATTTTTTCATATCTCACCTCATGTAATGGAGCCACAATGGAAATGATGGACACAAACCCTTCTTCTGTGAACCCTTTTGCGTATTCACTAGCCAAGTGAACAAACGCCGACCTATCCTTCTCTTCGTCAAAATCAAGATTTTTGCAGAGACCAGCCCTCAAATACTTTCCATCTATCTCTTTGACGGGAACCTTGTTGGATTTGAGCATTTCAGCAAGGGCCTTCGAAATCGTGGTCTTCCCCGACTTCGCTAGACCTGTTCATACAATCATAATTATTAAGAGATACAAAAATTGCAAACTTATTAAGCCCCCATTCAATAATAATATTGCATAATTTTATCAGTAATATAATAAACATACCTGTCATAAGAATCGTACATCCGTTCTTTACCTCACTTTCCCATTTCATCCTCTTAATAATTGGTGGTGAGGGGGATGGTGACCCAACATGGGTCATTTTACTAGAGGTGGGGGTGGATGGGTCCATTTTAAAACCCGGCAATTGTTTCTTGGTGTGAAGTACGTTGGGGCATTACTAACTACTTCTGGTTTTCCTTTCAGCTGTCCATAAAGTTTATCCCTCCGCGTACATCAAAGTATTCGACCTTCGCCAGTGCCATCGCCAAATGCAGCAGCAGGCCCAAACAGCGCAAGCAGCTGCACAGGCACAAGCCGCCGCCGTGGCTGGACATATACCAGGTATAATTTGTGACAATTCAAATACATAACAATTATCGGATCTACAAGAAGTCGGATTGTTTAAGGGCATGGTGCAGTTGGAGGGATCGCGCCAGGAATTGCGATGAGGTTTGACAATTTATTTACTACACAAATTTTACTGCAGGAAATAATAAATGAGAATATGTAAATTTAACTAGTCTCACGGCCGCTGCGGGAATCGGGGTCGACGACTTGAGGCGATTATGCATCCTACGTCTAAGTTTTGTCAAAGGTTGGGGGCCCGACTATCCGAGACAGTCGATTAAGGAGACGCCCTGCTGGATTGAGGTAAATAATCTACTCCAAAAATAAATGACCAGTTAATTTGGACTCAATTAACGTTTTAAACTTGATTATTTAGGTTCACCTACATCGCGCATTGCAACTATTGGACGAAGTTTTACACACGATGCCAATCGATGGACCGCGAAGTGACTAGGAAAAAGAAAGAAGCGAAAATGTATTTATTTGCGTTGGACAATTTATATGAATCAAATTATTATGAACTAATCCTAGAAGAATCGTCGTCTTAATTATCGTCTTTAATCAATTAAATTTAAGATACTTTATTTTTTCTATTCTCACCAAACCACCAATCAACCAAAAGTGAAAGTATTTGTTTGTTTTTCTGCTATCTTGAATCATCAGTAAATCAACGTGTTTTATGCCGGATTTGATATTTATGAGAATATTGGATAAAAAACTTTGTAATAAAAATAGTTACGTATGAACGCCACGTTGTGGGTGAAGTGGTTTGGTTTGGTTCCTTTAAAACTGTATTAATTTATAATTTTTCAACAAGTGACGATAGAGCAGCAAGAGGAGGGCAATATTATCTTTTTTATACTTTGGATTTCTCACGATCAAACTAAAAATAATTATTACAGATTTTTTATGAAATTATTAATCATAATACTGGATTAATACGTTGTTATTGTTAATAATAGAAGAGCGAGCAATGTGATGGATGAGATTAAAAATATATATTCAAGGAATAAAGAATGATTGGTGATGCACATATTATTATTTTCTGGAAATTTATACACACAATTTTTGAAAAAATCATGTAGCAATTTACTTAACTGAATCATAAAATTGAACGCTCGCTCAACGTCTCTATTATCTATATGTAATTATAATGGGAAACGTATTAGATTAAAATAGGCTCAAGTTGGGTAATGCATAACAAAATTTGTAAAAAAACAGCCACAACTTAAGAAGTGATACAGAAAAACTACCCACAAAGAAATTAACTAACTACCACTAGTTAATTAAGTAGAAGAAATTAAATTATCATAATTTAATCGCCAAGAAGTTCTCGGCTAGCGTGAGCTCGGTGTTTTGCAACCTCTTTTAAAGCATCGCGAGCCGTCATTTTCATTGGGACGATATCTAAATGGAGTAAAATTCGTGAATTTTGAAGAAAAATTATAAAATTTAGGACAATTTTGTTTAATTTGTACCCCTTAAAAATTCCAGGTTTGGATGTTTATGTGCCATCTCAGCCAAGTGTCGGTACTCGATATTCTTCACTTTGTGAGACTGGGTGTAAGTTTGGGTGGTAATGTGGTCAATAAAGAGTTCCTGTATTACAGAATAATTAGCTTTGAAATTTTGAATTAATCAATAATTAAGTAACTTTAAGTTTACGATGTTTACCGTCGCTTTTGAAATGAGAAAGAGAACATCGTTCCCAACTTGGTCAATTTCAGGGGACGATTTCATAATAATTTTGACCTTAGTTTGTGGCAAGGTCACGTCTTGCTTTATCTTGGTGGAATGCAATCGCGGTGTCGTCGTCGTCGTGCCACCACTACTGCCAGATGTTGACTGTCGAGGTGTCGACGATTCTGCAGCGGAGGAAGACGATGCGGTGGGTTTTTTCTCTTTAGGTGGCGACGATGAACTATGACCTCCTCCCGTCGACTTTTTCTCTTTAGGTGGCATTTTACTGGAACTATTATTATGACGATTCTCCTTCTGTTGCGTACTACTGCTGGTACTGGTATTCGGCGATGCGGTCGATGGTGATGAAGTTTTGGGTAAAATCCAGTCGGTAATCTTCATATTTGGGAAAAGGGGACAAGATATTGTCAACAGGGGAAGGACATCTGCAAATTAGCAAAAAAAACTCAGAATTGCAAAATTAATTAATTTCATGTGTCAAATAAAAAATGTAGTCAAAGATTGCTAAAACTTGAAATTTTGAATCGTTTTTGAGTAAGCAATGATAAAATGTTATCAACTCTGTGGGCTGTTATCACAAAATTGAAGTAAAACTTACCAAAAATCAAAAATTGATTTCTGAAAAAAATAATAATTCCGGGGAAATCTTGACTGGCTTTTTGCGAATCTGTCGTCTCAAGCGATGGTAATAGGCGCCAGTAGAGCCGCGATCGTCACAAAGTGAGAGAGCCGTATAAAAACGTGCACTTGTTCAATTTCAATATTTATTTAAACTGCAATATATTTAATTTAATTAAGTGCTATAATTATTTTGGTGTAATTAATTGTGGAGCAAGAAGAATCACTCACTTTGGCGAAAAGTTGACCTATGACCGTTTTTTCTGGAGTGAAAGATTGAAATGTGAGGCGAAGCAAGATTTTTTATTTATTTTTAGTTTGAGTTTGACAAATTTTTAACTAATTTGTATTTAAATATGTTTTACATTGTAATTGTCATCTAGAAATTAAGATAAAATGGCTGCTCAACCCCCTGCTGCTGCTCCAATAATTGTCCAGGGTCCGGCTTCATTTTTTGTGGATGTGAGTTTTATCAATTATTAAAGGTTGTATAATTAGTTAATTAAACCAAATTAAATGTTGCAGCACCTGTTTTTCAAATCGTACCCTTCACTTCTTCTCCCATCGCCATCCCCGGCTTCGGAACTTTTATCTCGCTCATCGCAAAGTTTGTCGTGTTCTTCAAAATTTGGTGTTCTCTTTGTCGCCGGACAAGGACAAGGTCTTCACCTCCTTCGCGTCGCGGATGTCCTAGCGGTGCAAACAACGGGAGGGAAAAGTCATCAGAAACAAGTTGAGTTGAGTCAAGTCCCCTTTGCGATCGCTTCTTTCCCTTCTGCGCCACCTCCCACACTGGTCGCCATTTCCGTTGGGGAAGAGTTTCTCGCCGTGGACACGGTGCGAAATGGGGTCGGATTTGTTTTAATATTCAAACTGGATCAGTTCCTAATTACGCCGGTTAGTAAATGAATGATTATGAAGTGATGATTAATTTAATAATAATGACTGAATTTTGATCAGGGTTTTAAGTGCGACCCAATTGCTGAGGTTCGCGCATCGCCTAAAGATGGGTCAAAAGTTTGTGGTATTTCTTGGAATCCGGGCGAAAATATGAGTAACATGTTGGCAATTAATTGTGATGACGGATTTCTTCAAATAGTCACGATCAAGGGGGTCAATTCGGTGGAGATGTGTTCATACAAGGGTATTGTGAGGTGAGAACTTGAATCAATTTTGTTAGCATTACTCGTAATTACTCAAATTAAATGCATTATGCATTTTGTGCAGATCAATGTGCTGGAGTCCAAAAGGGAAACAACTCGTCGTCGGAAAAGCGGACGGTTCTTTATCTCAATTAAAATTGGATTGTGCCGAAGCTAAGCGAATTCCAGGCCCGGGTGGGAGCGCAAGAACACCCACAGCTCTATTTTGGACGTCCACTACACAATTTATAATAAATTACGTCGTAGACGGGAAAGATATTGGTGGGTAAAACTTGATTCACAATTAAACTTAACTAAAAATTGCTCATCAAGGCTTATCATTATTGTAGACCTGATGCAACTCGACCTTGTCAAAGGGGGTCCGCCAACCTACACCAATTTCGGCGACGTTTTCGTCTCTGACAGAGTTGATCCCGCCTCAAAATGTAGTTTCGTCCCCCTCCTCGCCTGGAATGTGATTGTCGCCACGTCCAACACCATTAATGATGTCGTCCTCCTCGGAAAAGGACTCAGCGCAGCTAGTAGTGGCGAAAACTGGACAATCGCCGACCTCAATGACAATCGTCGTGCAGCCATTCCAATCGACAGTTTCGCCGTTGGAGCGACTCTCTTCACGGGATCAGAGGAGAGTGTAGTTTTTGACGAGACGGAATCCTATGGCGGTGTTCCAGTCGTGTTCGTTTTATCAGAAGCAGGAGCATTGTCATCATTCGCCTTGGTGAATTCCAAAGGAGATGCGCCCTCTGTATTTCAAAAGGTTGTGGGAGCCCTGCCAACTGAAATTTTTGCTCAAAAGAGAAAGGAAGAAATCAGTCAGCCTGCTGCTCCTGCTGCTGCTCCTCCTCCTGTTCAGTTTGGACTGCCATCAATTAATAAGGGGACGACTGCCCCGTTCAATTTAATTACAAATCAGCCTTCATCAAGTATCTTACCCCAAAAGACTTTACCAGAAACCACCGGGTTCAACTTTAACCCATTGTCAAATTTTGGTGCTACTTCTGCACCACCACCGCTAATAAATCCGCTTGTCATTAATAAAGCTGTTGTCGACCCTGCAAAAAGCGATCAAGTAGTCGCGCAACCACCACCACAACAACCAGTTCAACTAATTTCGGCGCCTGTAAAACAACAGCCACCACTTTTCGATATGAAACAACTCCCTACGACTGGACTTCCAAACTTACAACAGGTCGAAGACTTGAAACGGATGGTGGAGGAGAAACGGGCACAAGGAGGATTTCGCGAGGCTGGTAGCGGCGATGACGAACCTGACATGGATGAAGTGCTCTTAGAAGTGGAAAAGTTTCAGAAACGGTACTTAAATATTTATGAAATAATTTAAAAACTTAATTCAGTTTGGGTAGGAAATTTTGTCAAGCCCAACAATTTTGTTAATTTTTGTCAGGTTGGAAATGTTTCACACACGAAGGGCAGAAACTCATCAGAAGACTGTCCAGACGTTCAACGAAGTTCGGAAGGAGGTTGAAGACGGCGTCGTGTCACGGCTAAATTTGATGGAAGACTTTACCTCAACTCTACGTGAAACAAAGGATGTTCAAGAGGAGGAAGTAAACGGAATTAAAGAGCGGATCGTAAGCCATTACACGGAACTTGAATATGCCAAGGCGCTCGAGGAGAGGAATAAGGATCCAAAATATGCTCAGTTACTCATGGCGCAACCAATGGATGCTGGGAGGTTGACGAAGTTTGGAGAAATTGAAAAATTATATCAGTAAGTGATGGAGGAGGAAAAATTGTGATAAGTTTGTGAAGAAAGTTGGTCATATTTTACGTTTTCGGATTTTGTTAAACAAGAGAGAACAAGTTCTTGCGAAATTTGTCGTGTCAAATTTTGAATTAATTTTTTTGAATGCCACTGAAATTTCCAATTTTACAAAAGTCATGCCAATTAACTAACTGTGTCCCTTATTTTTCTATTCAGATACATCCGAAGCCAAACTGCAGAGTGTGAACGTTTCTTCAAACTGCAATCCCATCAACAGAACCCCCTCCAGAACTCTGCCATCATACAAAGTATCTACCAAACCTTGGCCAATCACTCAAAAATTATTAAACGACTCGCCCATAACATCAACCTCCTCCGCGTTCAGATCGGGCTTAATAAAACTGCCGGGATCGAAGACCACCGTGCCTTCGACGTCCCCTCGATGGGATATAACTACAACTTTTTGGATAATAATAACGACATTATCAACAAAAACAACAAGGCTAACCGGAATAATAAGCCCTTGTTGAAGGAGCGACCCGTAATCACCGTGCCGAAAAGTAACGTGCCCAAGATAAAAGCGGAGAAGGAGAAAGTCCCCTCCTCCGTGGCTGAAAAATTGACCGTGGACGATCTAACGGCTGGAATGTCTCGCGTGAAACTGAACAGGTTGAAGGATGCCGGAATTTTAGGAGGGGGACGAGACACCACACATTTGTTCTTAGGGGATCAGAAACCTATGCGCATTTCGGCCAAGAAGTTAGACTCGTTGACCAAGATTGTCTCAAGAGTGGAGAACATCGAGATTTCCGGGCCTAGTGTTGTGGATCCGTACGATCTGAGTGTGAAGGGAAGGGCCGCCGCGGCAGCGGCAAGGAGTAGGAATTTCATCGAAAAATTAGACGATAAGGCTGGAACGAGCAGCAGCAGTAATGGAGAGAACAATGAGATCAAGTCTATTTTGACGGGAACTGTAGCGAAAGAGGTTAAAAAGGAAGGAGGAGCATCCCCTCTGGTTAAACCAGTACCTTCGAAACCACAAGTGTCATTTGGAGACGATAAAGTTAAACCGTTTAGTCCTCAGCAGCAGCAGCAAGAACCAGCAGTAAAGTTCTCTTCGATTGATTCTTCCCCCATGTTAGCGGCCATGTTGTCGTCAGCGCCATCAAGTCAGGAACCACTTAAAATTCCGAGCCTCGTTTCATTCCCAGCGACTACTGCGGTTTCTTCGTCGTTCGGATTTTCGATGGGATCTGCTACAGCTACGACGACTAGTACAATTACAAATCCTCCACCATCATTATTTGGTGCGTCGACGAATACTTTTAATTTTTCTTCAATGACATCACCCTTTGGTGCGCCGACTACGACGGCGAAGACAAGTGCGTCAGTTTCGTCATCTTTGTTGGGTGATGCTACTGGAAAATCTTTCCTGGGAGGAGGACTCGGATTTACCTTATCGTCCAGTTCGTCCGCCCCCACTCTACCACAAACTCAAACCACGACAGCATCAGGACTTCAGACTTCTTCCTCCGTACAGAAATCAGTTGCTCCTCCAATCATGACAGTGCCGATTGGGCCGACATCAATATTTGGAGGAGGTGGAGGAGTAACAATCTCACAAAATCCACCTGCATTCTCGTCACTATTTGCGGCTCCTTCATCAACAGCATCTTTTTCCACTAGCTCGCCAGCCTTGACGAGTCTGCTAACAAGCAGCAGTGTCAGCAATAACAACAAACCTGCCACGGGGGGACAAAGTCCGCTCGCCTCCCTGCCAACTTTTGATCTCAGTTTGAGCAGTGGATTAAAATCGGGAGGAGGAACTACACCATTTTTGACGGGGGCACAGTCGGGCCCTCCTCCGAATTTATTTGGGAGCGGTACGACTATTACTACTACTACAACTCCTGTAAGTAATAAGACGTCGTCCCTCTTGGGTGGCTATGTGATTCCGAAGACGACCAAGGCACCCGAACCGAAGGAGGAAGATTGGGAAGATGAAGGAAAAACGGCAACAATTCCGCCGCTGCTGGAAGAAATTCCAAAATCGAAACCATACTCGGTCGAAGTGGAGGCTGTAACACCTCCGGAAAAAGAAGAATCTTCTGCGACTACAATTTCCACCAAGACGCTGGACTCGACATTATTATCATCTGCTCTGTTTGGTGCTCTCGACATAACTAAAAGTAGTGAGCAAACGATACCGGTCATTGATTTAAGTAAATCAACAGCAGTATCTGCAACTACCCCCGCGACGGGTAATTGTTAAATTATTATTTTTTGGATTTTTTTTTTGTGAATGGTTATGATTTTTCGTATTTGTTGGACTTGCAGGTTCCACCAATTTAGTTTTCGGTGGGAATTCTGTGAGTAAAAATTTATTCGGGACGACGACGTCGACCACAGTAACGCCACCGGCATCAAGTCTGTTTGGAGGAGGAACGTTGGTCTCTACTACTTCAACTACTACGACATTACCACAACCTACTTCTACCGCTCCAATATCTACGTTTGGACTTTCATCCGCTTTAGGAGCAACGTCACCTTTCGGAACAGCGGTGGTGACATCGACGGTTTCAAATCCTCCAGCCTCGTCTTCAATATTTGGTTCTGCGGGGATAGTAACTTCATCTGCTCCTACTTCAATTTTTGGGGCTCCAACGCCTGCTACAGTCACGTCGGGAGGGTCCCTTTTCGGATCAAGTCCAGCAGTCGTGGCACCCACATCAGTGTCCGCTTTTGGTGGTCAACCAACTCCGACCACTACTAATGCGGCCTCATCAATTTTCGGATCTCAGCAGACGCCTAGTACTCCACAAAGTGGGTTGTTTTCAGGAGGGGGAGTACAAAGTACGACACAGGCGACGACTGGATTTTCTTTCGCGTCGCCGACGTCACCAAGTACAGCAGGTGAGGAGGAATTTATTAACGATACACAATTTGAGTAATAATTTTTGCAATATGTGCCCAAATTAGTAGGTGCTTTTGGATCTACATCGGTATTTGGTGGTGCCACAACGACAGGACAGCCAGCATTTGGGGGTTCCGCAGTTTTTGGGTCGGCGACTACTCCTGCCGTTTCTTCCAGTGGATTTGGAGGAGGAACGACTTCCATTTTTGGGACAAGTTCAGCCTTTGGAACACCTGCTTCGACTGGTGGGTCCGCCTTCGGATCTGCGTTCGGTTCAACTTCACCCCCAGCAACAGCAGCAGCGACTTCACCATTTGGAGGGGGTTCAACCTCAGTGTTTGGAGGTGGAGCCGCACCAGCTTCGCCATTCAGCGGTGGTGGAATTACTAGTGGATCTGTATTTGGAGGGACGACGACCCTTCCGACTGGAGGACTGTTTAGTGGAGGAGGTGGTAGCACGGCGCAATCTGGATTTTCGTTTGCATCTCCGACAAGTCAAGGTGCGCTGGTTTTGAAAATGAATAAAAACTCGGTTTCAAAACTAATTTTAAAATATTTTTCACTTCAATACAGCCAGTGCTTTTGGAACTCCTGCCCCTGCGGCCGTGGCGCAACCAACATCTGCTTTTGGAGTAGCTACGCCAGGTAGTTATCTTTATTTTATCCTTACCCTCAGTTTTGATAAATATCCCCCATTTTCCCTTGCAGCTTTTGGCAGTGCCCCAGTTTTTGGTGGAACGCCCGCCTTTGGATCACCTCCCGCGTTCGGAGGAAGTCCTGCATTCGGTACTACGGGTTCTACTTTTGGTTCGGCTTTCGGCTCAAGTAGTCCTGCAGCGACGGGAGGAGGAAGCATTTTTGGAGGTGCGATCGTACAAGGAGCTGCACCCTCGTTTGGTGCGCTGGCTCAAGCCTCGCCCCCTCAACAGCAGCAAGGATTCGGTAGTGGAGGAGGAGGAGTGTTTGGTTCTCCTGGTCAAGGAGGAGGATCTATTTTTGGTGGAGGTGGTGGTCAGCCCACGTCCCCATTTGGACAGCCTCAAGCACAACAACAATCTGCATTTGGTGGTGGGGGAGGACAGTCCCCTCCGCCGGCATCCTTTGGTGGCAGCGCGTTCAGCAGTTGGCGATAATTGTAATATAGATTTAAGCACAGTGATGACGAGATGACAAGACTATTTATTTAGAGACGACGCACGATTCTTTCTTAATTTATTGTCAAACTGATGTGGTATCAACAAATTACGTGTATGTATTAATTTATAAAAAATGAGGATCGTATCATGTATACTTAAAAACTAATTATTTAAATACTCCTACAAGTTTTGCTATCTAGCATTGTTTTCATTATTAATAAATTGAAGTGTCAATTAAAGCTATCCGTCTAGACTTTAGCCTTTTTCGTTTTAATTTTCTTTGGTGGGATGACTTTAACGAATTTGACTGCATTTGAGGGAATGTAATCCTCGGGTAGTTTGTAGCCGGCTTGTTGGTCTGGGGGAAGTTTCATCATCCATTCTTCTTCATGGTCGAAGAAGAAGATTACCTGGTGAGAAAAGAGAGATTCGATTAATTCGATTCATTTTTAATTGATGTAAAATATGGCTGAACTTCTTACTTCTTCCTTCTCTCTGAGCTCTTGTTTTCTCGCTTCAATATCTTCCGTCAGTTTGTAAGCTTTAAATCTACGGATTTGCCTTTCCAATTCAGCCAGACGCATTGCCTCCCAATCTTCATAACTTTAGAGAAGAAATTATGTAGTTAATTAAAATGCTAATTATATGCATACTTATTTATTTTGCATACGTTTTAATCTGATTGGCAATTTCCTGCTCTTCCCTTTCTGACAAGGCGCCTGATAGCAGTTCCTCCGCCTTCTTCACTAATGCACCATCTTCCTGGTTGGCAAGCACTCCTACCGAGGTCAACTTTGATTTAATGTTAGGCAGGATTTTCTCATAGGCTGGATACTTGATCCGATCCCAGAACGCAGCGACACCCTTGTCATCTAAATTCATTCCGTATAATTGACGAAGTTTGGGTTTCGGGAGAGTTTTAGTTGGGGATGCTTCCACCTCGGCGAGAGCCTTGTCGACCAATTCGGACACTGTTTTGAGCTGAAATTTGTGTAATGTAAATTAGTTTGGATTGTTTTTTTATATGCAAAAATATATTAGAAAATGTACTCACGACTTCTGAGTAGATGGGTTTTCTAGCGGATGCCAATCTGTCCACTAATTGCTTCACTTTCTCCCACTTTCCGTACACAGCCCAGCCGAGGAGTTGGGCAGAGTGGGAGACAGCTTCATCTTCGGTAACGAGTTGGCCAACGCTTCCCAAAGTTTTCCCGACAATGTGGTGCGGCTCGTAGAGGTCAAAGTGCTGGTCGGTGTAAACGTTTCGGAGGAAGCGAACCCTGACTTTTTTCTGGAAAAGTCATAAAAAATAAAAATAAAAATTTGGTTTTATCAAAAATTATTAACGTAACCGAATTTTAATCTCTTACAATTTCTTCGTCATCATCTCCCTTTGGAGTTTCGACAGTTTCCCAACCCTCGGGTTTCGGATCTTTCAAATACTTGAGGCACGACAGGAGACAGAATAGTTTGGAAGTCGGCAGACCAAAATCTTCCTCCAGCATGAGCAGACCTGCTACTTTGGCAGCGTCTAAATATCAACACATATTTCATAATTCTAATCCACATTAATTATTTGAATCATTAGAATGATACTTATTAATTACTAACCACGATTGTTCCCACTTTTGAGAAATTCATCCATTAAAATGTTGGCGAGATGGAAATCGAGAAAGACACCGTAGTTGAGGCGATCGTTTAATATGCGGAGAAGGTCGTCGGTCTTCTGAGCAGCCATGAAGGCCCTGATAAGGGCGTGATTCGTCGATGGGAGCGTGTCTGCAGAAGCGGGCGACTTTCTCAAACGATAAACTGCCTCCTCCATTTCGTCGAGGGATTCAACGTCTGTGACTTTGTTCATGTACTGGAAGAATGAATAATTATTACAATTAGTTAATTAATGCACCGATTAAATATCAAAGTTTGAAATTACTTACGATATCAACATCCACGGCACTCAAGACCTTATCGGTTTGATATTTCTGATCCATCTCGAAGAATAAATCGTCTAAAAAGATGTAGAAAAATGTAAATAATTATGTATCATGTCGGAATTGTAATTAAAATTAGCATAATTAATTACTTTACTTACCTGGATTAACTTTTTGGAGGAGAGAAGATTGCAATCTTTTCGACCAGGCTTCCTCACATTTGTAAGAATCGCGCAGATAACCGAGAGACGACATTTGTCGCGAGATCCGTTTGATATCAAAGATAAGCTTCCCACCCCCACACCGGGGGGTGTGCTGGATAAGCTTGGAGAGGAGGAAAAGTCTCATAATTTTGAGACAAAAAATTATGAAACCAAAACCGGTGTAACTTTTATTTTTTGTTTCACGAGGAGTTTAACAAATGCAATCGCGGTTCTTGGTTGGGTAGATTGGGAAACTTTCATAGATGAATATTTTCTTAACGATAAGCATGGCGTTGATAAGTGCGTGATGATAATAATAGCTTATGAGAAATAAAAGTATTCAAATTGCAATATGTCAAATTTACTCATTCCAATTCAGACCTTATTAAAAATTTGGTATGCACTAATTAACTATTACATTTATAAATGCTATCCGAAATTTTATTTTATTCGGTCGTGAAATTGATATTTATATTTATGATATTTATTTTATATCATTTCTTCGTTTCAGGGACAGCCACATGCCATGCTTTGGTTTGAGAGATCCTGCTTGTTCATACTCCATCGGAATCAGCGTCCTTTTGGAGGGTTCGATATCAAAATTGTGGACAAGTTGGGCAATTGCGAGTTTCACTTCGGTCAATGCAAATCGCATTCCTGCAAAAACAACCAGTAGTATCGGAGGAACGTCTTAAATTCCAATTATTCCATTACCAATGCAATTTCTTGGTCCTTGTCCGAACGGGAGGAAAGAATACGTGTTAATTTTCCCCTTATTTTCGGGTGAAAATCTCTCCGGGTCAAACTTTTCAGGTTCTGGATAGTACCGTTCGTCATGATGAATGGACATTATCGGGACAATGATTCCATCTCCTTTCTTCAGCGAGATGTCCGTCCCAGGCAGCACGTAGTCTTGAGTGCAACCTCGATCTGTGAATGCGGTTGGCGGATAAAACCGTAGAGTTTCTGCGAAAAAAAAATCATGCAAATCAGTAAGACTAAAAAAATTGGCACATAAGAATTTACACGTACCGTTTATGACCATGTCCAAATACGTCATCCTGAGTACCGACTCATACGTGAAATCGCCATCATTCTCCTCCCAAACCTTATCCACCGCGATCCTCAACTTATCCTGAATTTCCGGATGAATCGCCAAAGCATACGCACAAAACAGCAAAAGTGACTGCGTCGTGTCAAATCCAGCCAAGATAAAAAGCACACAATTCGAAACTATCCCATCATCATCCAATAACAAGTCAGATTCTTGCCCTTTGACCTCGCCCTTGATAACCGCATCCTTCTCAAACCTGTCCAACTCAGCCTCATCCGTCTTCACCAGCTTATCTTCTCTCGCCTCCAACATCAACTGAATAAAATCGTTCCCCTTCCGCCCTGATTTGTTCCTCTCTTTAATCGAAGATTTAATCGCACCTGCAAAAAATTCGTGCATCTCCGCCCCAAACATGGATAACCCCAACCAGGCTGCAAACCTTGGAAAATTGAACATCACCATAAAGCTTATTATGTTCTTGGCACTGAAGGAAATTTGCATTTTCTTCCCCATCCGTTCAAAAATTGAAGGTTCAATTTGATTGAAAGCTTGCGAGTTCATCCCACAAACGGCGGAGGCGATCGTGTCCATCGTGAATTTTGAGTAGCCTTCCCACAAGTCGATTTCGCCATCGGACCCCGACTCCGACATCCGCTCGTCGACAAATTTGACCAATTTTTTCGCACTGTCGTTGAAGAGGGGGAAGAGTCGTTTAATCTTGCCCGTGGTGAAGGTCGGGCTTAACTTTGACCGCAGTCCTTTCCATGGCTCGTCATGCAGAAAGATAAGCATTTTCTTGATTAGGATGTCAGTAGCTGGCATCGTGAGGGTTCTCCGGTTGACGAAATGGTCGAAATCTTTGACAAGGACGTGTTTTAGGATGGTTAAATCTGTGACGAGATAGTTGTTCTTGCCCCGCTCGGAATTTCCTCCCACGCCGGCGTTGGCCTGTTTCATCTTATCGTAATTGATCTGGACCATGTCGACCAGGCTTTTTTTCTTGATCATCATGAAGTAGATCGCCTTGTAGAGATCGTTGCCCAAGTAGAAAATTTTTCTGGAGTGGAAGTACCGACTTTCTCGATAAGCGGAGTAGATGAGGTAGGAGATTAGGAAGACGATGAGAAATGTGAAGATCCACGCGATATCGGTGAAGGAAGGCATGTTGATTGATTTTATGTTTCTAGAAATTTTGATATATTTTAGTAGTTTTAGGAGAAATTTTTAACAGGATTTTTGTATGTACTTACTCTGGATGGAGTTTTTAAGAAACTATTACAATTTGTACAGAATTTGTCCGAGGCGTGCAAAAATTTACGGCTGAAGGTACAAAGAACATGTGCTGTCTGTCGGTATGCTGTTGGAGACCAGTTTCGCTCAGTTTTTGCATGGTTTTTGCTGTACAAATGTGAGGTATGAGTATGAAATCAATATTTGCAACATATGTACATATGTACAGAAAGTCCTTGACATGACGCTTGTGAGGACGAGCATAGTGCAAAAACGGATAAACAAAGCTGAAAATAAAGAGTTAGCATGCAACTCTTAGGATTAGTTCGTGGAGTACGTTTATGCATGCAAAACTGTGCAAAACCAATGTTGCGAATTATGCTATCTTTTGCTTATTTTAATTATTTCATTCCTGGCACTTTGTTAAATAATTGTTTATGTAAAATCGAACTTTTAACCTTTTGTGATATTTATGTGTAAATAACAAATTTTAAAATTTTAAAAATTTAAGTTAAAAAAAACATTGTAGTTAAACTTACAAAAAAAAACTTGTTAATTCAATCCCACACGATTTATCACATACAACATAGATAATTTGTTAAATTATAAATCAATGACGATTTCTTAAAAATTGTAATGATTCAGCGACGCTTTTTACTTTTTGGAATATTTTGCAGAACAAATTTTATTTAAGAATTATTTATTCCAATATAAATTTATATTTATATTGAAATAGATACATCTTTAAATAATTAAATAATAAATAAATAAAATAGGTATTATAATTTATTAAATTATACTATTTTGGAATAATTTGATTAAATATGTACAACTCCAGGTTTTCGAATAATAAATACAACTGCACCGAAACCAGTGGAAAATTTCCACTGGAAATCATGCAAAAATCATGCAAAAAATCATGGAAAAATCATGCAACACCATGCAAAAAATCGTGTAATAATCGGCAATAATGTAATGTTAGTGAGAATCTCAGGGACATTTGTCTCGATTTTGGACTTGTTAAAATCATAGAATAAATCCTGCATATAAGATTAAAATGTACTCTTGTCTCGTCTTTTCGACTGCATCATTTATTAACAAGGACGGCAGACAGCACGGCTCTCAGGCTGCTGGTTTTCTAGTCTGTGTATATTTTTACAGAAATTTTGAGCGTCGGTCGTCGGTCTCAATTTTTTTTAGAACCGTGTCTGTTTTATGGCTTTGATCTTTTTCGGGTTTTTCTTTTGTAAATGTGACGGGAACATTTTTAAACTTTTCAAATTTTGTGCATAAAAGAAAATCACCGTTGTAAAAAAATAAGATGACAGGCTGCATACAATCGCTGTACCTGTCGGTGATTGTAAACTTGTGATATTTTACCTGTAAAGTTTGAGAGCTTTGTTGTTAAATATAATCTGAGAAAATGCATGGAATACTAATATCGTGACGAAAGTTTCATAATTTCATGTTTTTTGACGTGATGAAAAAATTGTGATGAGAGAGAATTAGATTAGAAAAATGTACATGCACTGCATTTCATCATGATTTGATCCGTAAGTTGATGCACATGAGCCTTTTCCGGTATTAGTGTCAACTCTGAATGAGTGACAATCTCGAAATGAAGATTTAAAGAGCATGTACCGTACACTAAAATATGATCAAGAAGAGTTACTTAAACCCTAAATAATGTAGTAACAAAATTGTACCGAGAGTGAACATTGTTTTTAGTTGGTAGTAATTCAAATGTATCTGAAAATGTGATTCCAGCTTGGCAAAAAAAATCGAAAGTGAAACATTTGGGTATTCATTACGAGTTAGCATGTTCGCGTCGCAAAATTAATTTTGAAAAAAATTGCTTAGTAAATACTTGGAGATTAAAGCTTGCAAATGAATTTTCAAGCAAAAATATTTTGCGAACATTCCGAATTTTGTTTTTTTGCCAACGATGTCAACTCTTAATGAATACTTCCAATTAATATTTAGAGTGCATGTACAATAGGTGTCCAATTTAATGGCTGGGAAGGAAAGGGATTTGCTCCCATTTTCATAAAGGTTGAGTACATATATTCATTTACCTGATGGAGATTTATGTAATTAGACCCGTACAAAGTGGAACACTGGGAATAAACCTTTTCGGTTGTTGCTCATTATTGTTCTAGTCATAATCTTTCGTATATACAGTCAAGAGCAAAACTTTGCGACATATGGAAGAGACTTTTGGGACATGTTATTCAAATGGGGAATTAAAGGCCGTAAAGTTTTGCACCGCGTACCTTTCCGAATAATTTTTTTAACGCTGTGATATAATTTTTATTGAATAAAGCGTGCAAAAGTAGGGGGTGACGTGGTAAATTAGTTTTGTCGCCGAATTTTTTTCAAGGAACTACAAGGAATTGAAAGAATTAATTTTGGAAGAGACTTTTGGGACAGCCATAAGCACAATGTGTTGTCCCAAAAGTCTCTTCCAAAATTAATTCTTTCAATTCCTTGTAGTTAGTGGTCTCAACGGTGCGGTTCGGTTCGGTTCTTGGAAGAACCGGTTTAGAACCGAGAACCAGAATTGAAGAACCGAAACAGAACCGAACTTTTTTTAGTTGGAACCGAACCGCAACCGGACCAAACCGGGACCGAACCGGCGGTTCGGGTCAAACCGGTAGTGTTATTAATATGCAATAAACAACAAACAATGCTAATTCACGTGTTTCTGATGAAATTTCACATATAAGCCAATAACTTATCTGTATTTAAACAAGCAAATTCGAATACATGTCAACAGCAAAACCACTTATGTATGTATTATTGAAGTTAGAAAACAATTCCAAGTTTGGGGTGCAACCAAGTCAAAATTTCATTTTGGAAACATTTAGGGTGTGACCAAGTAAAAATTTCATTTTGGAAACATTGGGGGTGTAACCAAGTCAAAATTTCATTTTGGAAACTTTGGGGTGTGACCAAGTAAAGATTTCATTTTAGAAACTTTTGGGGGTAAAAATTTCGTTTATGAAACTTTGGGGGTGAAAATTTCATTTTGGAAACTTTGGAGGTGTCATCAAGTCAAAATTTGGTTTTGGAAACATTGGGGATGTAACCAGGTCAAAATTTCGTTTTGGAAACATTGGGGGTGTGACCAAATAAAAGTTTCATTTTGGGAACTTTGGGCGTGTCATCAAGTCAAAATTTGGTTTTGGAAACATTGGGGGTGTGACCAAGTCAAAGTTTCATTTTGGGAACTTTGGAGGTGCGGCCACGTCAAAATTTCATTTTGGAAACTATGTGTATTTCGGGAAATTCGTAAAACTTTTTCGAAAATATGATTAACTTCGCTAATGTATTTATGTATGAAGTTCGGTTCAACCCGAACCGGCCGGTTCGGTTCGGTTCTCAAAGACTTGGAACCGGAACCGAACCGGTAATAAAAGTTTCGGTTCGGTTCGGTTCTCCGTATAAACCGGAACCGAACCGAGCCATCGGTTCCGGTTCGGTTCTATGAGAACCGAGAACCGTTGAGACCACTACTTGTAGTTCCTTGAAAAAAATTCGGCGACAAAAATAATTTACCACGTCACCCCCTACTTTTGCACGCTTTATTCAATAAAAATTATATCACAGCGTTAAAAAAATTATTCGGAAAGGTACGCGGTGCAAAACTTTACGGCCTTTAATTCCCCATTTGAATAACATGTCCCAAAAGTCTCTTCCATATGTCGTAAAGTTTTGCTCTTGACTGTAATCTTAGGAGATATATATTTTGGACTTTTGCCTGGATATGTATTCCATTTAGGAATGTGCATGCATAAGACATGTGATTGATTTTCATGATATTTTGACGTTTTTCTGGGTTAAGACGCTACAAATCTGATCCATCACATGCCTTATGCACGCTGTTTTTCCGAATTTAGGAAAATGGATGACTGCTATATTATTACCGGAGTGATATTTAGTTGATCGTGTATGGCAATAAAATGGTGTAAAATTACGCAGTGATTTATGGGTTTAATTAGGCATGATGAAGTACCAAAGTAGTGTGTCCACCCTATCTAATATTATCTGGAGCAGAGAGTTCACCTTTCACCTGCGCCATTATTTTGTTTGTGACGAGTTAGTCAACTTTTTAAGAACAAAAGTCAGAAAGTTTAACCACTAATGGGACTTTACTTTCGTCCATAATTTTCCATTAATTGTGTGACCCGACGGTCGCCTCCACCATTAAAAAAGTTGTCTAATCGAGCGTAATCACGAGAGACAAGTCTTTATTTTTTTAATTTTTAGAGAAGCTGGAGACACAGATTTTTTTTAATGGGATGGACGGCCGGCTGGCTGGGTCGTCGTCTTCAAGGCTCATATTTTTTGAGGCTTAAAAAAGTGTGTAACCCTTAAGGATGACCCTTCTTCTTCCTTCTTCTTCTTGGATGAGTAAATATAAACTTGGCAGGAAAGGGTTTCATCAATTCAGGTCGTAATTCTATTTCCGACTTTACTAAGAATAGGGATACAAGCCCTTCAGGTTAATTGCAGTTAACTTAATACCTGGATGGATGGGAGTAGTAATGAATATTCCATTTTTCACGCACTCACGTCGTGAAATTTTGGTGCGTAGTAAAATAAATGAAATGCAATTTACTATTAGAAAAGAACGTGGCATAATTAATTATGCTACTATTTATTTATATTTTTTTCACCTTTACATACCTGAATTGTAATATCGGCAAACTTATGCAAACTTATGAAAATATGTAGGTATGCTTTCTTTACATCCTTAATTTCGTGGTGTTTTTCATATATACTTTCGTAAATTTCGAGGTGTTAAAGCACTCAATATATATGTACCCATAATTGTTAAGCCTTAATTAAAGCTAAGAAATTCAACACTATGTAATGATTTCCCTGTCCAGTTAAGTAAATACGTATAGGTAAATCTTACTTAATTAATTCTTAGACTAAAGTTAACTACAGTAAAAAAAGAGGATATTTCAACCTCATATTTTGTGTCAGATTTCAACTCCAAACTAAACATTTTTAAAAATTTCTTAATGATTTAAAAATTTCCAGATGCGTCCCTTAAATCTTGCTCATCTTCTTCCGTCATCTTCTTAGTACCTTTACTTGAGTTTCGTAGTAAATAAATAGGTGCGTAGAAAAATTGTATTTTTTCCTCATCTTTCTCGCACACCTTCATTTCATTTCATCCCTGTAAAAATGGATTTGTGTCTCTATTCTATACCTCCACAAATTTCATACAGGGCACGATTACAGGATAAATAAATACGAACGAGATGCTTGCACTGGACTTTTATGATTCTTCTGAGCGGACTTAAGTCTCCCATTGAGGTATAAATGCATGCATGCGTGGATAATATATCAGTACCTACATGTGAAAAAGGGTCCCTCTTTTCACAAAAGGTAGCCAAAAGTAAAGGTAAAGGTAATTGTGTTTCATTTCATTTCAGGTGAAGAAATGAAGGGCCAGGTAGCAAAGTAAGTACCTTTTCGTACCTGTTGCTCCTTAAGTCTCCCTCTTTTTTCTGATTATCTTCAAATGAAACCCTTCGCAAATGAATGAATCCATCCATTTCATTCCAAGACTTTCTTCCAACCTGAACCGTTTCTTGTTTCTGGGTGACTTTGATTTTAGATTTTTTTACCTGTGTATTGTTGGAAAATAAGTTAGTTTTTTATATAAACAAGAATTAGAGCGAATTATTTTCTGAAAAAATAAATTTCTTAAAATGGAAAGTGCACACATTTCGGGGATGCCAAAGGTACGGGTAAAATTACTAATATTGTTTGTGGTGGATAAACTCATGGTTTAATGGCGTTAAATGTTAATGTTTTCCAATTTATTTAACCAGGTCGCCTCAGCCATTAAGCAGAGTGTTATTAACAAAGAGAAACTTATCAATAGCAGGATGGCGAGATTGTTATGGGTAAGAAGAAAAAAGAGAGCTAAATAAATTACTAAATATGTGCATGAATTAAATGAATTGCGACAATTTCTATAATAAAAATAAATAAAAATTGTATAACTTGGACGATTTTTGTGAAAAATTACAAAAATTGTGTATAAAATTAGGTTTTAAGATAAATTGACGCAGTGTAAGAAATTTACACAATTTCATACTTTTTTAAATTATAAAAACTCTAAAACATTTCAAGAATTATCAAAAGACCGGATTAACTTATCTTCCTGGGGCAATTTTCGCCCAAAAAATTTAGAAATAATTCCTTTCTAGGGTTTTTTTTTTCAAAAAATAATAATTCGAGCAAAATACTCAATTTTTCCTCTCAATTTTTTTCAGAAAACTCAAGAACTCGATCCCCAAATCCTCTCCCCTGCCGCGATTCGAAGTACTACCCAGAACCACAACCTCGACAAGCTAGAAAATCCCTTAGTCGTCGCCGCCATCTCCGCCGGTGTCATTGGCGTGGTCATCATCGCCGTCATGATTTTGAGCATGTGGATTCGGTCCAAATTTTTAACTCGGCCAGGCAGCAGGACGAATAGCAATGATATCGAGACCGATGTCATCATGACATCGTCGCCCTCGAGGTCAATTTCGATATCAATGTCAACCCTGGACGGGGGTGAGGGTCAAGATAACGAAGGAAGTGAAGATAAGACTCAAATGGAATCAATTCGTTTGGACGATACGACATTCTACAGTGCGGTTGACATTTCAATAATTCCGGTCGATATTTCAGTCCCTTGCAATCCTGGTAATTATTTTTTGAGGAATTAATTAATATTTAATTGAAGATTTGCATTTTCGTAATTTTGTGAATTACTTTTAGATGACAAAGATCTCCCCGAAAATCATGGGATGCTGGATGAACGCACACTTTGCAATATTTCGCTGAGCCCGATTTATAAATAAGTTTTTGTACTACATTTTGTCAAGATTTATTTATTTTTATTGTGATAACACAAATATTTATGTATTTACGATACTCGTTAATTTGATACATAAATATTTACTTAATTATTTATTTATTTAATTTATTGTGACTTTACAAAGTCGAAAAATGTTTTTAATAAATTATTCAAAAAGAAAATATTGTTTAGGTGAGCACGTTGGCTTATCAAATTCGGTAGGAATTTAATTAATTGGTGATTAAATCATCATAAATCTAATTAAGTTAATTATTCCGTGTAAACTCTGGGTCTTTCGACTAACTGGGCAAGGTTGAAGACGTCGGGGTCGTAAAAGTAATTATTTGCTGTCGATCTTCTCCTTCGGCGCACCTTCATCTGCAGGGTTTGTGGAAATACGAGGATAAGAGTTACCAAAGATAAGAAGATGATAATCATCGCTGGAATTATGAGTTTCATGATGTCCAAGAGGAACTGGTTTCCTGACACGTTCAGAAATGGGGGTTCACCGTCAAACTTGTAAACTTGTAAATATTGGGATAATTCTCGTCCTGTGTCGCCCGTAATTTGCGACATTTTTTGCAAAATTTGGAGAAGTTTTGAGGAATTTATAGTTGCATTTCAGGCGAGAAATGAGTGTGGATAACTGGTTATCGTTGGGATAAGGTAAAACTAATCCACCCGGAGACAGCGAACAAGGCAAAGCTTGATGTGGGATAAATTTCTTTGTCTGACTTGCGAAAAAAAATTGACTTGCAAAATAAATCGAGTCATAAATTTCTCTTTTTTCAGAATAAAGCATGAATAATAATGTGTGCATTTTGGACCTTGATTTCAATTTCAATGTTAGAAGAAATTGACTCAGGAAATAATTAGCAGGTTAATTAAATCCTAATAATAAATAATTTATTTTTCAGGAGACCTGCATTAAAATTAAAATGAGTGGCAAATTTCTTAAAGGGAGACAACTTTATAATTTTGCGTGATTGTGTAATTTTTTACGTGCAAATTAATTAATTACAATTAGTAACCTTTAACCTTTACATTCTCGTGGAATATTTGCACGCAAAATAGATGATAATTCATGTTTTATTTTATGCACAAACCTGGAAAATAACAATGGAACAAAGTGCCAATAAATATTTGTGCACAAATTTACTAAAAGATATTTTTTGCACATCATTGCAAAATAAATGGACACAGTGGCAAGTAGAATTCCACAGGAAATTCTTCATTAAATTGAATGATTCTCAGGTAGAGAACTGCATATAAAATAATTCGGGATTCGTAGAATTATGACATTCACACATAATTTCGATTACACACATATTGCAAAAATATTTCCTGTCTAAAATTTGCGAAAAATTTAAATCAAAATGCAAAAAATCGGAGCGTTCCTTGTCCTTTTCGGCAGTTTGGGTGCCGTTTTTGGTGGCAGTGATGGCGGATGCATGAAGGATTTTAAAAACTTGAAAGAAATGGACGCTGCGGTGGAAAAGTGTAAGACAAAGTTGAACTTGAAAGAGTCCGATATGCAACAAATGATGCCTGCGGATCTCGCCAAAAATGGGTTTGACGATAAGGTGATAATAAATTCTTTAACTTTACAATTTTTGTAACTTTATAATTGTTTACGACAATTTTTTCACCATTTGTTTCCAGTGTATGATCAAGTGCGTCATGGTTGAGATGAAATACGTAAGTTTTCAGTGTTTTACGTATTTTTGAAAGAGTATTTTATGGTACAAGTTTAATAGTTCTATTAGTTATTATTTCAAAATTATTAAAAAAAATCATGCCAAAGACCTACAATCTATTAGCTCTATAATAATTTATAAACTATTTAAAAAAATATATGGCTTGCAACCTAGCCAAAAAATGTAAAATCGCTTTACAAAAATTGTTGACACATATCCAATCAACTTTTAACTTCTGTTAAGTAATTATTTTACCAGTTTGACCCAATTTTAGCCCAGAAACGGTTCTATTGTTGTCCAAATAAATTTAGTCGTTTCTCCTAATTGTGTAAATACCTTGCAAAATTGTCCCAAAATCTGAAGGAATTGACACCACACTAAAATTTTGATTTCTAAATGACATGAAAATAGGCCAAGGAAGACGGTACCGTGGACATGAAGGCGTTGGAAGAAGATTTGAAAAAGAACGCTCCAGCAGGCAAAGCTGACGCCTTGGTTGCACTCATGCGAGAATGTGCAGAAACCACGGGTAATAATTTTATGAAAATTTATTTCGAAATAAAAAAAATCGAAACTTCCAAAGATTTATTTATTTTTAATTTCAAGCCAAGGACGCCGCTATTATGAAAGATCCATGCAAATCGATCGCCAAAACGAAAATGTGCTACGTAATGGGTCAGGATAAAGTGAGTTGGATTTTTAATCATAATTAAGTAATTATTGATTAGTTAAAATTATTTATTTCCATAATTATTTTTTCCAGATCTGTCCACCTGCTTAAAGTAAAAATATAAATGGGAAAACAGGACTGAAATCAAATTACACTAAAACTGGGAATAAAGTCGGAAATATGAAATGCATGAAATTTTAGCCAATTAATAACTGTAAATGAGTGAATAAAGATATATTTGAGCAATCCCCGAAAAAAATCAAAGTTCCATTTTAAAAGTGAAAGTAATGTTTTAACTTTGTAAAGTTTAAACTTTTCTCATATTCGATTTATTAACCCACCTTAATCTGTAGTTGACGCAACTTAATCTATGCTTTACTTGGCACAATTAATATTTTATTCCAAAATTACAACTGGCGTCAAATCATAAAACCCAATGTTTTTTAATTCATTTAAACTCGAAAATTTGATAAAAGTTTTTATGTACATATCTAACCTCTTTGAAATTTCATAAATTAGTAACGTAATCGCGGTTGGACAATTTTGTGATCTATTACGGATCTCAAGATTATAAATTTTTCCATAATTCATCCCATCAGAAAATTTCTTGACGAAAAATTCTTCTTGTTATGATTTATACATAAGTTTAAAAATAGAGCTCAACTATCTGCCAGTCATTTTAATATTAAAAACTTTTAACAAATTCTTAACCGGTGTCAACCAATTTCAAGAGTATTTTTTAACCCGATAAAATTTATTAATTACTTATATTGACAACGAAAAACCATATTTTCAAATGATGAATAATGATGATTTCATTTCAAATGTATCAAAATAAAACATCATTCTTTCAAGAACTCTCAAATCTGAGAGTTATTTTAAAATTACATATTTTCCTTAAGTTCTCAAACGGCATCAACCAATTACAAATTTTTCAGCCGAATAAGATTTTTGCTATTAATTATATAAACCAATAATAAACGCACTTTTATTAATTTAGTACAATTTCACATCTTATTATTGTTAAGATCATGAAATTCCTTGAAAAAAAAACGCTCAGAAATTGAAATATTAGTTACCAAAAACCTTCAGTGCATACATATTTAACTCATAATTGATACGCGGATCCACGAAACCTGAAGTTTTTATGAATTTTAGCACAAATTTTGTCAAAATTCTTAACTGGCGTCAAATCGTAGGAAACCTTATGATTTTTTGAGGTTGTAAAAATGACATTTATACCACCGTTATTTTCAAAATAAAACATTGAATTAAAAAATAAGACCGGAAATTTATCTTAGTTTGGTCACAAATTTTGTTCAAACTCTTGTGCATTAAATTAGATTTTTCATGGTCTTTAAAATGTGCCCTTTATTTGACAAGGAAAATATTGAATTAAAAAATTGCATAACTTATTAAAAAGCGGATTATAATGTCGTATTCTATTAAATATTATTACACTAATATTAGCAAATACTACTTCAAATGCGATCATTTTGAAAAATTGTTAAATCTTAAAACTCGTGGAAAAGCAAACCATTTTCACGAATTATTTCTAATTCCGACGTGGAAAATAATAACCTATCACTTTCGTTTTTATCTTGTGCTGTATTTAAAATTCTCGTGTGGCATCAAATTGTAGCACAGAATCCTTTCTTTATTGTAAGCTATCAAAATATGTTATCGGAGAGAAAAGGACAAATCTGGGATTTTTTAAATGAACGTTATCCAGTTTTCCAAAGCTCTTCCAATTTGGGTTAGTAATACGACAATATCCGACCGGATTACCCGGTCATTTAGTATAACATGGAACCGACGGACTCGGATCAGATCTATGGTATACTATATGGTTGGATAAAAAAATCCGATCAGTCGGATCGGATCGGATCGGATTTACCATCCCTAATTCCAATCGTAACTTAAACACTGCAATATATGTTAGTTGACACGAACAACGTTGAATTTAAAAAATGAAGTTTTTAACGTTTTAAGAATGTAATTAAAATTGTGACCCGCAATTTGCAAGTAAGAACACCTGGTAAAAAAAATTGGTTAAGAATTAGACAATCAGCATTAAACTGAAGTTTGCAGAAATATTCTGTGCAGTGCAACTCGATCAACTGGTTTTGTGTCATCCTTCCGGTAAACTATTCCAAAAATTATTCGACTTGCAACCTTAGCAAAAAAGTGTAGAAGCGCTTTACAAAAATTTTGTGACACGAATTCAGTCAACTTGACGTAATAGATAAGTTTACTTCTTATTTCCATGAAGTATTTTTAAGCTACAAAATTTTACAGTTTGACTCGATGCTAGCCAAGAAATGGTGCTAATTTTGTCAAAATTTTATCTGCATCTCTAAATTTTGTCACTTATTTTTGTAAAATTGTCCAAAAATCTTAAGGAATTATCACCGCGTTAAAAGTTTAAAGATAAAAGACGTAACTTTTTAGTGTTTTAAGAAATAATGTAATGAGAGAATTACCTGTGGTGAGTTACAAAGTTTCCAAACTAAAAAAAATGGAACAACACCATTTTGAATCTACTGGTTTTATAAATCTTTGTAAAGTAGTGAAAAAATTATACGGCTTATAACCTTACAAAAAAATGTAAACTCGCTTTACAAAAATTTGTGACGCAAATTCAGTTTACACCGAATAATTTTGATTGTCGAAAATTTCGATGTAATAATGTTCACTTTTGATTTGGGCAAGTAATTATTTTAAAATTACAAAATTTACCAGTTTGACGCAATTTTAGACCAAACGGGCACTATTTTTGTAAAACAAATTAATCCGTGTCCCTTCTATAATTTTGTATTTTTTTTGCAAAATTGTACACATTTTGTACAATTTCGATTTCTGGAATGATATAAAAATAGGCCAAGGAAGATGGTACCGTGGACACGAAGGCGTTGGAGGAAGATTTAAAAAAGTACGCTCCCGCAGGCAAAGCTGACGCCCTGGTTGAACTCATGCGAGAATGTGCAGAAACCACGGGTAATATCAAAAATGTATTTCGCAAAATAATTTCAAAATTTGCAAAGATTTTTTATTTATATTTAATTTCAAGCTAAGGACGCCACTATTATGAAAGATCCTTGCAAATCGATCGCCAAAACGAAAATGTTCTACGTAACAGGTCAGGATAAAGTGAGTTGGATTTTTAATTATAATTACATAATTGTTGATTAGTTGAAAGTATTTCTTGTCATAATTTTTTTTTCAGATTTGTCCACCAGTAAAAATATAAATGTGAAAAACAGAACTGAAATCAAATTACATAAAAACTGTGAATAAGTCGGAAATATGAAATGCATGAAACTTTAGCCAATTAATAAATGTAAATGAGTGAATAAAAATATATTTGAACAATCCCACAAAGAAATCAAAGTTCCATTTTAAAAATGAAAATAATTTTTTTCAAGTTTATGCTTTTTCTTAGTGAGGCAAATACCTAGCAACAAAAAAATTCACTAAGTATGCATTTACCCCACCCAAAAAAAGTGACTTTGCAGGATATCTCAGTCATTTTCCAACCGATTTTGATGAAATTTTGCACTGATCATTATTAAGCAGTTTAAAGACGATTATCGAATCCCCTTTTTGAATTTTTGATTTTTACCCAAGTTATGGGCAAAAATGTGCCCTTGGAAACACATTTTCACTTACTATTGATCACTGGAGCATCTAAGAAAGGATTCAAACCCCACGTCTTGTAGAGTATTTTTTTCCGTAAATTTAAAGCTGTGGATGATCAAAATCGGTTAAGAAATCGTGACGTTATTCAATATAGAAACTTGCAATTTTTGCTGCAATATGGCATTAATGTCGTTGACAACAAATGCTATGTTCACACTAATTTTTAGGAATGCGTGTTTATCATGTAAATAACTCAATTACAAGTATTAAATAAACAAGGTCCCAAAAAGTTGGAAATCTTAATGAGGCAGTGCCTAATAAATAAAATTAGATTGCAAAATTTTTGCATCACCGCTCTTGGTACTTCGATATTTCTTCTTATTGAGAGCGGTGATATACAAATTTTGCAATCTAATTTTATTTAGTAGGCACTGCCTCACTAAGATTTCCAACTTTTTGGGACCTTGTTACGATTTTCTGAAAAAATTCCAAGTGGCGTCAAATCATACAAAAAGACCATTTTTTCTGTTCTTTTAAACCTATACACCCCAAAATTAGATTAAAGTTCATACTTATCTAACCTATTTTTTGAAATTTTACAAATTTGTAATGTAATCGTGATCAGACAATCTTGTGATCTATAATTCTGGCTGTTGGTCGTAAAACAATATCCCTGGTCGTCGTTTTTAAGAATTTTTGAGCAGTTGCTAAGAAATGGTGCATTATTTAGAGGAATAATTTACTGGAATTAGATCGCTTTCAACGTCAGTTTCTCGCCGGTAATTTTTTAGCCTGAGTCAGGGCTTAAGGAACCGTCATAATTTCCGTCCGTCCATCCGTCCCAAAACACGATAGAGCCAAAACGACTGAACCGATTGACTTGAAATTTTTACCATATGCATATTGGACAAAGTTAGGAAACGAGTTTGAAGATTGGCGAAATCGGTCAAGTGGTTGACCACTGGGGGTTATCGGAGTGGTCAGAGACTAAGTCCCTGGCTCGGGCTATATGGGGTCTGCACTGTAAATTATGTAAATTCAAGGAAATTATTCCTCTAAATTTTGCACCATTTCTTAGCAACTGCTCAAAAATTCTTAAAAATGACGACCAGGGATATTGTTTTACGACCAACAGCCAGAATTAGTTCCAAGATATTAAATTTTTCCAAAATTCATCCCAGCAGAAAACTTTTAGGCAAAAAAACTCATTTGTTTGGCACTGTTGATTCAAACAGAGGTCTCATATCTATGAGTCATTTAAATCTTACAAGCTTTTAACAAATTATGAACCGGCATCACACAATTTCCAATTGTTCAACAAACAAATTGTGTCACACATTTTGTCAGAATTCTTAACCAGCATCAAATCATAAACCCAGATTTTTAAAGGTTGTTAAAATGTATACCTATGTTTATGTTATTAATATGTAGTTATTAATAGTGAAATGCAAAATTGCATACAACTAAATGTTAAATATTATTGGCAAATATTATTCAAAATGAGATCATGAAAAATTGTACTCAAGAATGCTGTAATGAATTATTTCTTAGGAGGGGAGCTTCACCACCTGCCCCTCCCAGATTTTGATGTGCTTTGGATATGTGGTAGTGTCCCATGAGTGTACTAAAACCCTGAAGTGGTTTGACTCCATGGCCACAGTTACGCCCGCCACACCCACTCAAAGGCGCCAAAAACATGAAAAAATCCCTGTTTTCACTTGTTCAAACCCTCGCCAAAAATCCAATTTTGCTCGGATTTTGGTAAAATTTACATTTTTGTAATCCCAGATACTTGTTTGATCATGTCCAGTAGCAATCTCAACTTTTTTGAAATTTTGAATTTTTTCGAATAATTCATCAGCCCGAAAATTTCGAAAATTTCAAAAAAGTTGAGATTGCTACTGGATATGATCAAACAAGTATCTGGGATTACACAAATGTAAATTTTATCAAAATCCGATCAAAATTGGATTTTTGGTGGATTTTTGAAGTTGGTAACTTTTGTGGTTTTCATCTCTTTGAGTGGGTGTGGCGGGCGCAAATGTGGCCATGGAGTCAAACCACTTCAGGGTTATAGTACACTCATAGGACCCTACCACATATGCAAAGCACATCAAGATCTGAGAGGGGCAGGTGGTGAAGCTCTCCTCCTTAGTTCATGACATGAGTTCATTGAGTTTGTGAGAATTATAATCTAAAACTTCATATTTTATATTAGTTTGTTCAAAATTCTTAAGTGGTATCAAATCATAGCATAAAATCCTTTTTTGTGTATTTAATTAACGCTATGAATTTTTCCAAAATTCGCAATTGCCATCCCATGATAAGTTAAAGTAGGATTTTTTGAGTGGTTAAAATTTTACTTTTCTGAACCAAGCACGTATGTAAATCAAAAATTTCATAAAAACGCATATATATATTTTTTTAGGTATTTTCAAAAATAGCTCATGTCAAGAAATATCAATAAAAAATCTCAAAAATAGATACAATTTCGTCATAAAATTTATTTTGAGAGGATCCGTCCCGAATCAATGCATATTAAATAGTTAATTTATAAGTAATTTCTGTACTACGGATTTTTCGAAAATTTTCAACTTGAATATTTTTCAAATGGTACTTCAAAAATCTTTTCAAGTCCTTAAAACTTGTTGTTGGGCTAATAATTCATTGCGTGCAAACATTTCATGTCTATTTTTTTAATGATTCGTATCAGTCAATTACTAGGTAAAAAAACGCTCGGAAATAGAAATTATATAGTTTGATTAATATTTTCCCAAACCTGTCAATTGAAAAAACTTCGCATCTATTCCTCAACATTAAATTTCATATTTCCCAAACAATTCTTAAATGGCATCAAGTCTAGCAAATTACTGTATCAGACTACGAAAACAGCGTTTCAGAAATTTAATACAGCCGGATTTGTAGAGCAGTTTCAAAACGGAAACATATCAAGCAATTTCTCATAAACTAAAACTAACTTGCAATATGCATGATTAATTTAATTGTTATAATTTTGAAAACAAATTATCGTAAATTACGATAAAATTTACGAAAATTGACAAATTGCTAAAGCTCAGATTAAAAAAATTAACTACTGCTTACGATGTATGTACTGCAAACGGGCAATAACTCTTAAGCTACCTGAAACTTACCTTCCTTCTATCACAATTCTATCAAAATTCTTAACCGGCGTTAAGCTATTCTTTGCAAATATTGTTTAAAATGAGATCGTCATAAAAAATTGAAATTCTCAAAAGTTAAAGAAATTGTTGGCAAATATTTTTGCGACGCATTTCTTAGTTCATGGAATATTTACAATCTGCATCTTAATTTTGTATTCTCAAGTGGGATCAAATCATAACACAAAATCCTCTTTTATGAGTTGCCAAAATTGGACAGAAAAATATAATTTTGAGATTTCTTTTATTAACGTTGTGATTTTTTATCAAAATTAATATCTAACCTCTGTTTAATTCATTTTCTTAAAACCTAACTTTTTCTATAATGGCTTCATCAAACGACATTAAAGCATAACAAAGCCATGGGCAAAATTGTGTGGTGTAAAAACATCTTCGCTTTATGATATTTCATAAAAGTCATAACAAATGTTTAAATTCATAAAACTTACCGGATTGGTAGTAGTTTGTTTCTGAGTGGTGGATTTTTAATTACCATAACGGTAATGCCCATTAATACCGTGCAGGTAGAGTCACATATGTACTCCAGTCAGTATTGATTTTATACCAGTTTTCTAAGAGTGCATATCAGAAAATTTAATGATAAAAAATGTTTTGACATGAAAGCACGGTCTCATCTGCGAGTTATAATATGAAAAATGTTCAGTAAGAATATACTAAATATGATCAATTGTAGGGAGAAGGGCTCACTTTTAGTAAGGGTCCACATTATAGAAGGTATTTTTTTGTCCGTTTGAAGTCATCTGGGAGTCATTTTAATATTACATTCTTTTTGTAATATTGTCAATTGGCATCAACTAACTACAAATTTTCCAAGCCGATAAAATTTATTCTATTAATTATATACATAAATCAACAAAAAACGAACTTTTAAAAATTTAGTACAATTTCACATTTTATTATTGTTAAAACGACATCATATAAAGCAATTCCTTGAAAAAAAACGCTCAGAAATAGAAACATTGGTACCAAAGCCTTCCGTAATTGAATCGCGGATCCACGAAACCTGAATTTATTCTTTATTTTAGCACAAATTTTGTCAAAATTCTTAACCAGCGTGAAATCGTAGGAAAACCTATAATTTTTTAAGGTTGATAAAATGACTTTTAACAACTGTTATTTTCAAATAAAAAAATTGAATTAAAAATGAAACTTGAAATTTATTCGATCACAAATTTTGTCGAAATTCTCTTAGATTTTTCATGATTGTTAAAATGTGCCCTTTATTTGACAGGGAAAACATTGAATTAAAAAATTGCATTACATAATGTCGTATTCTATAAAATATTATTAAAGTTTTATTAGCAAATATTATTTAAAATGAGATTATAGTGAAAATTGTTGAAATCTTAAAACTCGTGGAAAACCAAGCATTTTAACGTATTTTTTGTATTTCTGCGGAAAAAATGATAATCTGTAACTTGCGTTTTTATGTTGTGCTTTATTTAAAATTCTCAAGTCATAGCACAAAATTATTTTGCAAGTTATCAAAATATTTATATTATCGGACAGAAAAAGACTAATCTGACGTAATATGGTATACTGCATACATTAAATATTACTAAAACTTAGTATTATTAGTAAATATTGTTTAAAATGCGATGGTCGTAAAAAAAATTAAATCTTGAAACTCACGGAAATGGTTGACAGACATTTTCATGAATTATTTCTATTCTCTCTTCTTGGGTAGTTTTAAATCTTCAACTTAATTTTATATATTACGTTGTTCAAAATTGTCAACGGACATCAAATCAAAGAATTTTTGGGTCATTAAAATTTGACTTTGTTAAACCAAACACGTATGCAATTCAAAAATTTAATAAATACTCATATTTTATTAGGTATTAAAAAAAGTTTCATATCAAGTAATATCTGTAAAAAAAATTAGCAAAATAGGTACAATTTCTTCATAAAATTTGCCGTGAGAAGATCTATCACAAATCTATACGTATTAATCTGTAAGCAATTTTTGCACTTTGGATTTGTCCAAAATTTTCAACTGGTATTTAATCAATTATTACAAAAAATCGTTTCAAGTCAGTAGGATTTGTTGTTGGACTAATAACGCATTGAGTTCAAATAACATCTCATATTTTATTATTTTTCAAGTGATTCCTATCACACAATTTCGAGGTAAAAAATACTAGGAAATTGAAATTATAGCTTGACTAACATTTTTGCAAATTTGACGATTGCCGTAAATTTACATCTTTAACTGAAAATTAAATTTCAAATTTCCCAAAAAGTCTTCATTGGCATCGAGTCATACCAAATTACTGGATCAGACTGCGAAAACAGCTTTTCAAAAATTTAATTCAGTTAGTTTTTCTTGTATCTTCAAGACGTAAACATGTCAAACAATTTTTCATAAATTATAAGCTACAATTGATTTATAATCAATTTAATTATTATTTAAAAAAATTAATCCTTGTCGTAAACTATGATTTTCACATCGCTAAAATCCTAATAAATTGCATTCAGTCCACCGTACGGTTTAGTTTTTAGGGTATCCCATTCAGTCACTTAGGGTCGCCATTAAATGCGAGCCAAACATTATTAGGAAATATTATGAAATGAGAATGAGATCATCGTGAAAATTTTGTAACTCTTCAAACTTGTGGAAATTCACCATTTTCTAAAACTTATTATGTGGGATATTTGCAATCTGTACATTTATTTTTCATATTATTTATTTTGTTCAAAATTCTCACCTGGCATTGCATCATAACACAAAACTCTTTTTTATGAGTTAATAAAATATGTTATTGGACAGAAAAAGACAAATCTGCGATTTGTTTCAGTAACGTTATGAATTTATCCAAAATTTTCAACTGACATCCAATCACAACTAAAAGTAGGATTTTTGAGCCGTTAAAACTTGACTTTGTTAAGGTAAACACGCATGTAAATAAAAAATTTCATAAAAAATCGAATATTTGATTATTTAAAAAAATGTTTCACGTCGAGCAATAGCTGTAAAAAAATTCCCAAACACTGTTTCAATTGGGCCATAAAATTTAGTATAAGAAGACCTATCATGAATCAATTAATATTAATGTATAAGTAATTTTTGGACTATGGATTTTTTTAAAAATTTTCAACTTTAATAATTTAGTCGTATTTAAATCGGTATTAATATAATCGGTAATTAATTTTAATCGGTATTTAATTGTAAAATAGTCTAACCTGGGTCAACAACGATCGAATTATAGAGATTTGGTATGCGATTTGCGATAACCCGTACGTATGCAAGTTCTCACGATATTATAGAATGGAGAACAATCTTTCGGTGGAGAAAATCCCTTACTTATCCCAAATTTTGTGAACAACGGCAAATTTTTTTTAATTACGCGTCGCCTTGTTACAAATTACTATGGAATGCATGTGGAACGAATTACCATCCTAACTTTATATTTGTAAAGCTGATAATGCTGATGTTTTCATGTCTCATTTTTCCATATTTTCACTCACACGGAGGTTAGGATTTATCCAATTTTACTTCATATTCTTTCAAGTACTTATTTTTATAAGATAAGCAAAATGTTCCACTTAAAGCAGTTAAACAAATTTTATTAACAAATGTTTAAAAAATTTTTGTATCTTGTCAATTCTCGACGCGTATAGGGTACTCTAGAAATCTCATAAGTATGTAAATACATATTATCATCGAATCCGTATATTTTTTTGCGTACTACTAAATTTTATGAGGAAATGAGATTTTATATTTTTCGGCAAAAAACTCAACATATTATTTAGTCTCAAATTCACACGAACGAATGCATACTTCACACTGTAAAGCACATGATCTTTAAACGAATGAAGAAAAATAGGACAAGTTTTATAACTGTATTGCAATAAACCTAAATATGTATGTATGTTCCCCGTAAAAGACTCGGGTCCACATGCAACATGGCCATTGACATAATGACACGACTTTTACTGCCTCCAACTACATATGTATGAATACAATTTCTCTCAGATTTATGACAAAAGTTACATAAAACTTTGTCTCAAACCTGATTTGGCTGGCATGCAATAATATAATTGCCTTATGGAACCCAAGCTGCAACCAACTGCATAGAATTGCATGCACTTGTTTAAAAACTGCGGTGAAAGAAATTTCATTCCTGGTTATACTTATCAAAATTTGTTTGTAACGAGTGAAAAAATGGAGACCTCTGTATTACTTAAAATTTCGGAAGCTTTAATCATACTTCCAGTGAACAAAGAGACACATGGAATAAAGAAATTGTGGAGCATGCTGCATAAAGCTCTGTGCTGGGTTAATTGCATCACGATATTTACTACGTTTATGCAAGTTATCCAATTTTATATAAAACAGAGTTCCGACCAAGTGTCTGCACTGATTTGTGTCAGTTTATTTTACATTCAAAAAGCTGCGTTGTTTAGTGTTTTAATCCTAAAAAGTGAACAAATCCGTGATATTTTTACGGACATGTCCAACTGTGGTATCAACGCAAATAAAATCGTGTCACTTAGAGCAATTGTAATTTGTGCTGGATCATTTCTAGTTTTCGGATCAACATCCGTGTACAGTATCCAACAACTGCTCGTCTCAAACGATTTCAAGGACAAGCAAATCCCCCTAAATCTTCTAACAAAACTTATTTACCTTCTGCTTACCATTTCCAACGCCTTGACAGAGCTATCGTTTACCATTTTTACCATCATTTTGGGAAATTTTATCATCAACCTGACAACAGAGGTGGAAAAACTGGCTAAGGAAATTGAAAATATTAGCAACAGTTATGCTCATTGCCGTGGTGGTGACATTGTTAACAATTCAAAGGCACTTGAAAAAGTTATCAGAAGATTAAAAAATTTATTAAAAATTCTTAAAAAAGTGAATACTGTTTGTGGAGAATATCTTTTAATTTTTTGGTTCTTCCCGACCTCGATCATCGTGGCCATAACGCATACATTAATGGTAAAAGTCTTGTATGGTGACATCCTTATGGACGAGAATGAAAGTGATATGGTTATTAAATTCCAACTTCAAGCCTTATTAATCGCCTTGCTTGTGACATGCACAAGAATGTGGAATTTCATTAGTTTGGGATCTGGACTCCTTGCGGCGGTATATATACTGATTCCTTATTAATTTCATTTAGACATTGATAATAACTTTAACCGTGCCTGGGACAGTGAATTTCTAAAAAATGGTGTTAAGGGCTCATTTTTGGAGAGAATGGAAAACGGATCGGTAATTCTGTGGAGAAACCCATTCCCCACATATTTACCGATCCATTTTCTATTCTATTCTGAAATTATTTTTGTGCCTGCGTCCAAGGCAGCCTTAAGTATTAAATCTTACTTGTTGTTTTTTGCAGGGAGACGAACTTAGATTTCAAGCCGATATCGAGCCCTTTCCTATCATTGACAAAGGGATGCATCAACGGCAAGCTGACCTAGAAAGACTTGTTGGTCAAGTCAGTAGGCTAGCCAATAAGCCGTTGGACATATCTCCGGCTGATTTTTTCACTTTGAATCGAACCTTGTTGATTGGGGTGGGTACCTAAAATTTAAGTTAAGGGTTTACTTAATGACATTAAATTATAACCATATATGTTTCTTCTTTGGGAATAGACGCTGATAACGGTGGTAAACTTTGTGCTGGCCTTTCGAATGGCCGAATCTATGTAAACCTATAGAAAAATCAGGTAACCACATTAATTTCATAAATAATAATTCATTTAAGATGTGAGATGAGGTGTTTTGAAGAATTTTTTAACACACAGATGCTGAAATCTATTTGCTTATACGGGAAATTATCGGGCATGGTTTCGTCCATGTAGGTAGTCCTACAAGTTCATAATTTTGAAAATTTAGTTAAAAAATTGTTAGTTGCAAAACAACTTTTGTCATGAATTAATAAATTATCTTGGAAATGGTACAGATTCCTGGAAATTGACTTGTGTAAATAATTTACTGTGCATTTTTACTTTTTGCGGCTGATAATTACCTAGATAGATACATACAAACAAATAAATATATCATACAAACATATGTATGCAGAGAATGATTTCACATATCGTAGGGCCCTAGTGGATACGAGGTTGATGGAAAATTGCGAATAATTTCTGCATTTCACATAAAAATAATATTGCGAAGCATGCGCTAAATAAGTCGTACCAAAGTGAATGGAAAAAGTTGCTTATGCATAATAAATAGCTGGAAAATGCTATTCATACCAACAAACTCATACCAACAAAGTAATTCGATTAAATAAAATATATTGGTTTGAAAAATAAGAAATTGAACGACCATTCATTTAGTTCAATTAGTTCATTTAGTTCGCCTGCGCATCATAGATTATGATGCGCAGGCGCAGACCTCGCTAATTGATAATTATGATTCATAATTAGTATGCAAACTGAGATTTCCTGCAGAATTATTTGCTACCCTTCGTCCGTTTTCGACATCCTGATGCAACCCGATATGAACGAGTTTGTGTGATGCACAAAGTGACCTTTCTTCTCGATACGATGAAATATGTCGTCGTCATTCTTCCAGCGTGATAGGAAACAAGAAATGGTGGAGTAAAACCTATATAGAACTATCACACTTCACTACAAAATTTATCAGAATTCTTAACCGATGTGAAATCGTAGCAAAACCTATGATTTATTAAGGTTTTTAAAATGTCTTTTGGCCACTGTTACTTTCGAACGAAAACATTGAATTAAAAAATAAAACGTTAAATTTATCTTCATTCAGTCCCAAATTCTGTCAAAATAACCGTAGCTTAAGTGGTGTTTATGCTTCACGTCATCGTCACGTCCTCCTTCAAATCCGATTTTTTGATTGGCTGAACTAAATTATCACTACGATAATTAAGAATTTTAACCAATCAAAAAATCGGATTTGGAGGAGGACGTGACGATTACGTGAAGCATAAACGCACCTTTAAACTCAGATTTTCAAAGTTGTTAAAATGTAAATATTATTTGAAAAGGAAATCATTGAATTAAACAAAAATTGCTTTCAATCTTTTCTATATATTATTTAAAATATAATGTCGGGGATAGTTTGTACATAATTCTTAAAACTCCGGAAATGACTTGACCATTATTTTCAAGAATTATTTCATACTTACAATGCGATGGTGTGAAGTGTAACCCTCCGATTTGGCTGAAATTTTAAAATTAGGTGGTCCAAGCCAATACAACTAACGTTTCTTCAGGCAGTTTGTGCGATGGTGAGAGTTACTCAAAATATTTGAGGTCAAAGTTCAAAAAACGGCCGACTTTTTTCAGGCGGAGTGAGAAAACTCCACTTCCATTCTCTTCCCCTCGCTTTGATTTTATTCAGGCGTCTCGCTCATGCATACGCCTTCATGCTCAAGCACAAGCTTTGATGCAAAATAATAAAAAATAAACATTATTAATTATAGCTTAAAGAGCAATTAATACGCATTATACATACTTAATTTAATTTATAATTAAATACGTGAGATTTTTACTTATTTCTAGTACAAATTTACATAAAAGTTAATTTATAAATTCGCCAACGGCAAATAAACATGGAAAAACTTAACTTGCTTTCCATTTCGAAAGCGTTGGTTATTCTAATATCCAATTATATATTAATATTTTAAATGCTCCTGTGATTCGATATTGTTGGTACTCAAGCGGATCATGGGGTGATGACGAAAAGCCCGAGTTTAAAAATGTAAGCGAAGTTTGTTTTAGAGAAAAAAATATTATTTGCGACCTGAATTGTGGCAATCCCACATTCATCAAATTCAGCTGGTGCAGTTTATCGTATTGTTTTGTGGACTTTTATGAAAATAATCATATAGTCACATGTGGAATGAATAATTAATATTTTTCTATAAAAAATTAAATTTAAAATTGTTGAAATGAATTATTTTTCGGAGTGAAAATCAAAGCGAGGGGAAGAGAATGGAAGTGGAGTTTTCTCACTCCGCCTGAAAAAAGTCGGCCGTTTTTTGAACTTTGACCTCAAATATTTTGAGTAACTCTCACCATCGCACAAACTGCCTGAAGAAACGTTAGTTGTATTGGCTTGGACCACCTAATTTTAAAATTTCAGCCAAATCGGAGGGTTACACTTCACACCATCGCATTGTTAGTGCGAAAATTCCAATGTGCTGTGTTATTTTTTAGAAATTTTCAAGTGGTGTCCAACAATAGCATAACATACACTTTTGCAAGTTACCAAAATACATATGTTACTCGTCCGGAATCCGTGCATCTGCGAATTTTTGCGTACTGTAAATCTTTCCAAAATTCACAACTGGCATCCAATCACCACTTAAAAGTAGGATTTTTCAAGTCGTTAAAATTTGACTGTTAATCCGGACACATACGTAATTCAAAAATTTCATAAAAACTCATGCAGTTTATTATTTATAAAAAAGGTTGCAAATACAAAAAAAAGTTACAAATACGCAGTTTTGTCATATCATTTTGTCATGCCATCATAGAAAATATACTTTTTTCGTAGTTTGATATTACTGCAATTTTTTTTTGTAAAGTATTATTTATTAGTATTATTAGTAAATACTAATTAAAATGGGATCAAAAACCTTTTAAAATTTTAAAACTCACAAAAATTGTAGGCAAAGAATTTTCACGATTTCTTCGGATATTATAAATCTGCAACCCAATTTGTTATATTATTTTGCTCAAAATTCTCAAGTGGCATCAAAGCATAGCATAAACCCCTTCATTTGTGAGTTATCAAAATATGTTATCGCCGTTATCGGACAGACAAATACAAATCTCAAATTTGTATTATTAACGCTATGAAATTTTCCAAAATTTTCAACTTGTATCCCATCATAGCTTAAAGTAGGATTATTTGAATCGTAAAATTTGGTCATGTTTGTTCATGGTCATGGTCATGTTTGTTCACTAAACACGTATGTAATCCAAAAATTTTATAAGAACTCATATTTTATTAGGTATTAAAAAAAATGTTAGTAATATGTCTATAAAAAATCCAAAAATGCATACAATTTTTGAATAAAATTTATTGTGAGAAGATGTATCAGGAATCAATACATGTTAATCTGGAAATAATTTCTTTATACTATAGATTTATCCAAAATTTCAAACTGGTAGTTAATCATCAAAAAAAAATTTTCAAGTTACAAAAAAAAAATTTTTGGACTAATAGCGCATTAACCTCTTATCTTCTAAGTGAATTGTTAAAGATAATCCGTTGCTGACTAATTATACATCAGCTTAAAATATATTTATCACTAAGATACTTTAGGATGCTTTAAATTGGAGACGAATACTAAAATTAGAGGCATGCCCTTGCCGTCTGGGTTAATTATAATGAAACAAACCCGAAAACCGTAATTTTTAAACAATCGAATTTTATGGGTTTATTTAGAATTTGACCATAATTACCATAATTTGTAGTTAAAAACCTCAAAATCATGCAATATCACAAATATAAATACTGAAAACTGCATGAAAAACATGAAGACGCTCTAAAACATCACAAATCATTTCTTATGGAATTTTTCGAAACAAGTTATTTCGCCCTTTACACATAACCACACCTTGCAGTCATCACAAAAATATTTTGTTGCCTTTCTTTGCTTATTCTGTGTGCATAGCTTGCAATTTGACCTTTTATTTTTCCCATTGTCATCTTGAAGAGTTTGAGGATAATGTGGACTCGATTTGGCTTTTTTGAGCGTTGGGGCACTTGGGACGACGTCCTTTGGTACTTCGTTCAAGTTGATTCTCATCAAGCATACTGTTCACTAAACTGAGAAGATATGCCTTGTAACCGTTTTTCGTTATTTGAGAATTGAAGTGGCCAGCAATTACAAAAGAGTTGTAGATGCAAATATCGAGAAGATGAAATGCGTATTTACGATACCATTTCTTTGTCTTCCTCAGAGTCTGATATGGTCGAATGATGGCGTCCATATTATCCACAGATCCCATCGTTTTATTATACACAAGGACACTTGCTGGCTTGAACCTTTGGTTTGCAGGGTTTCTTTGACATTCTTCCATTCGATGTTCTATGAAAGTATTTAACATCATAACCTCTCTTCGATCTCCCCACCTTTCGAGTAAGAGATCCCCATCCGAGAATGTTTCGATTTCTCCAGATTTTAAAGTTGTTGGCTTTTTTGTTACGGGATCATTAAATTTTGGCATGAATTTTCTAGTCCTCCGGACAGTGCCTAATACGAATACACGCTTCCTAACTAAAACTTTTGCCAAAGTAGGGGACTGAAAATAATTGTCAAGGATAAGGCGATGATTTTTTCCAAAGTATGCTTTTTGTAAGAAAGTCAGAGCGATGGCACCTCCAAAGCCATATTTTGTAATCCAAGACCGATCATGAATTGTAGTGGCCTTCCCTTGATATGGAATAATGTCCAATACATAGCGATGTTGTGAATCCATGAGAAAAAATGATTCGATGCCAAACCTCCCTCTTTTCTTTGAATTGTACTGCCGGATGCTCAGACTTCCTTTGTATGGCATCAACTCTTCATCCAGTGTTAAAAATTCTCCAGGATTCACAAAATTCTTAAAATTGGCCAAAATTCTTGACAAAATTGATCCAAGCTTGTGAAACCTGTCTGTCTGATTCAATTCAGGGTCTTCCAGATTCACAAAATGAAGGGCACGCAGAATTTGTAAAAACCTATTCATTTTCAAGATTAACACTTGAGTACAACTGTAGCAGTATTTTAAGTATGCACCTATCTCTACTCATGGAGTCGCCAAACGAATACGTTGCAATCAACGAGTTAGTGCTCCAATAATCCTGAAGCGTTGGTTTTCGAACGACTCCCATTAGAATATTAAGTGCGAAAAAAACCCAGAACTCCTGAACTGATAAATTTGTCCACTTGGGAATATTTGTCTGCCTGGCATAGAGGTTGGTTTGATAAATTATTTCTTGAATTATTTCTTCTGTTAAAAATCTACGAAGTATAAAATATGGCGATGATGCATCGTTGACCTCCGGGTCTCGCACAAAGACGCTCTCTTGAAAGTCTTCCGCCTCTGGGAAGAAATATTCGTGATCGCCATCCCATTCAATTCCATCCTAAAAATTAAAAAATTAGCACAATCGGTGGCACGCATATGTACGTTAAGTATCCTCATCCTCTTCATCCACCGCTTCGAACTCCAAAATGGCTTCGTCGTCGATATTTTCCTCGCCCATCTCATATTGTGTCTCCAAATAAGTTTCTTCGACCCATGAAGGAGTATGCAATTGAGGGTGTTCATCCACAATCTCTTCAGATTGTGTGAAAATAATTTGGGACATTTTCAAGCAATAGCACCAAAAAATATGCGAAATTAAATTGCGAAATTCTCGAATTTGCAAAAAAATATGACTTCGCATTTATGTGTATTTCGAGGTCAACGGAAAATTCAATTATTACACAAATGTGTGTATTTCGTCGTCAACGGAAAATAAAATACTACACAAATGTGTGTATTTCGTCGTCAACGGAAAATAAAATACTACACAAATGTGTGTATTTCGTCGTCAACGGAAAATAAAATACTACACAAATGTGTGTATTTCGTCGTCAACGGAAAATAAAACACTACACAAATGTGTGTATTTCGTCGTCAACGGAAAATTAAATACTACACAAATGTGTGTACTTCGCCGTGAACGGTAAATATAATACTACACACATGTGTGTACTTCGTCGTCAAGAGGTTAAGTCCAAAAATTTCATTTTATTCTTGTCACATCTGATAATTCCTTGAAAAAAACGCTGGAAAATTGAAATTACGAGAATTTTACATCTATAGATAAACATTGAAGTTTGAGTTTCCCAATAATTCTTTACTGGCATCAAGTCGTAGCAAATTACTGTTTCCTGATACTAAATTTTATTCAAGTGTCGGGAATCAGCATAATATTTAATATACTGCTACCATCGGGGATAGTTTGTACCTACATAATTCTTAAAATTCACGGAAATGGCTTGACCATTATTTTCACGAATTATTTCATATTTAGTGCGAAAATTCCAATGTGCTGTTATTTTTTCGAAATTTTAAGTGGCATCCAACAATAGCATAAAATGTACGTTCGCAAGTTGCCAAACTATGTTACTTATTTGTGCGTATTGTAAATCTATCCAAAATTCACAACTGGCATCCAATCACCACTTAAAAGTAGGATTTTTCAAGTCGTTTAAATTTGACTGTTAATCCGGACACATACGTAATTCAAAAATTTCATAAAAACTCATGTAATTTATTATTTTAAAAAAGGTTCATGTCATTCAAAATCTGTAAAACAAAATGTTCCAAAAAAACAAGAAAAGAATAAGAAAAATGTGCAGTGAGAATTTTCTAAATAGGATAAATCGGACGGAGAAAGGCTCACTATTAATTGGAATCAACCAGCTGCAAATTTTCAAAACCGATAAAATATATCCCATTAGTTACATAAACCAAGGAAAACTACATTTTTCTTAGGTGAAGGAAAAGTAACCATAAGGTGATCATGTTAAAAGATCACCATGGTTACGGCGAAGCCTAGGTATGCAATCAGCTGCAACTTTGAAAAGGTCGCACTGAGATTTCGCCCAAACCGTTCGTTGCATGGAAAACATGCTGAAACAAAAAAACCAGAGAATTCTGTTTTACAGATACGTTTTTTTTATTTTTTCAAAAATTCTAATTCCTTCAGGTAGAAAGTCCGATGCCTAAAATTTCAAATCCATTTCTTGGCATCAAGGAAGTGTTTCCGACCGGGGGCTTGCCATTTTTATTATTCTCCAGGATAATACGCAAATTGTAAGCCTTTGTTCGACTTAATCGGATCAAAACTGACGGAATTAGAGCTTTTTGAAATATTTGCATTAGGCAACCTATTTACGTGTTAAGTTACTGGTTGCTAACGTGCGGTGATAGTTTATTCAGCATCGCTATTCAATACTCAACATATCCAATGTTGCTAGACAATCGAATTACGTTATTATTAGATCGCTAAGTGTCAAGGCATCCTTGACAGAACAGAACAATCCTTAAAATTTTGAAACTGGGGGATTAAATTGGCATGCCACGCATCCACACCCACTGCGGAATTAAATTGGTATGCCAAGCGTCCACAAACAGGAGAATTAACAACGTTTAAGATTTTATAATTGCATATGATTTTATGCATATAAGTTCACAAATCACTAACAAGGTACCTAAAAAGGGGAAATCTTAGTGAGGGAGTGCAATCACAACTAATAAATAAAATTAGATTGGAGAATTTTTGCATCACCGCTCTCGGTACTATTTTTACTGGATGCAGTATAAATTTTTCTTTGCATATGCATGAATTGTTAGTTTTATTGAATAAATTGAGGAAGAAATACATTTTTACTGTGTAGTGAACGAGAAGTGGGTTAAATTAACTGAGGTAGATATGTAAGATATAATGACTAAATAATTATGAGCTACGTATTTGTTTAAAAAAATATACAAATTTCAATTTCATATATTAATTTGGCTACTCTATGCAAAATCATCGAACCTTTTGAGGGAGCAAGTGTTCTGTTTAAACGATTAATTCTTCCAGTAAAAATGGTACCGAGAGCGGTGATGCAAAAATTCTCCAATCTAATTTTATTTATTAGTTGTGATTGCACTCCCTCACTAAGATTTCCCCTTTTTAGGTACCTTGTTTATTTATAACTTTTAATTGGGTAATTAGATTGCCCATTGGATAACTGCATTGCACTACCCCTTTTCAGTAGTTTGATGCGGAATAATTTTATTAAATGCTGGGTGTTTAAAATTGAATAAATCCGTTATTTCTTAACCGATTTATATCATTTTGGTCAAAATGTCCGGCCTAGATTACTAAACACCAAAAGACCTGATCTGGAGGTGCAAAACCAACAACAATTTCACGCAGTTTATCAAGCATGTTAAAGAAACAATTAGTTATGCTGTTTACAGTTTTGAATGTAATTTGTTTTCAATTTATTAGTCTTGCGTCGTTGTCAATGGCAATGATTCGTAGCACGAGCATGAATTTCTGAACTTCAAATTGGAATAACTAAGCCAATTCTTAACGGATTTTGATATAGTTATACTTAAAATTTTCGGGATAAACTGCCCTACAATTCGTGGGTATCAAACTGTTGATAAAGTTTGCTAGTAACTAGCAATAATTACAAATGTGTTTCTAAGGCTACATTTTTGCCCATAATTCCGATCAAGATCACGTAATCGCTTAGTCGGATCAGATCCCGTTTCTATATTATGTATCAATAATCGGTGCAAAATTTCATCAAAATCGGTTGAGAAATGACTGAGATATCGCAGATGGTCACTTTTTTGGGGTGGGTCAAATGCATACTTAGTAATTTTTTTCGTTGTTAGGTATTTGCCTCACTAAGAAAAATAATTAAATAAATAAATTTTAAAAAACAAACTTAGGTGAAGGACGCGCTTAAAATATTAAAACAAGAAGCATTAAAAAATGTCATAAGTCGCTTAATATTTATTAACTTTTACTTCACCGGGGGCCCAACTGTTAAATTTTCAAAGCAATGATAATCAATAATAAATGTAGCTAAACCAACGACTTGATTAAATATGAAGGGCAGCATTATAGAAGTTATTAAAAATACGCCAGAACATGAGCAAATTTCCTCTATAAGAGGTGTCGCGATTTATTGAAAGATAATCATTCAAATCTTGCAAGTTTAATATACAAATACATATTACGCATTTCGTATAATTGTTCCAAATCCTTGAAAGTATACCTTTTTTCCTGTGTTAGTTGGGCCCCCGGTGAAGTAAAAGTTAGTAAATATTAAACGATTTATGACATTTTGTAATGCTTCTTGTTTTAATATTTTAAGCGCGTCCTTCACCTAAGTTTGTTTTTTAAAATTTATTTATAGTATTTTCGTTTAAAGTGGACGATGATTCATTCCCAAAATATTCGAATAACACCTGTCAATCACGCCACGTCTGCAATCTGGCTCACAAAGAAAGTCAGGGGAGGAATCATTCCATTCCTCGAATGACGGAAGTGCAAGTGCATTTTTCTCGCCTTCTTCTTTATGATCTATGCAGTAAGATTTGTAACAGTGGTCGTGAAAAGAGACCAGTGACCGCGGAAGCCGTGGGGACATCTGGGGACATTAACATTACAGGATAGGGGACGGAGGGGTTTATATGACATGGACAGATGGGGACACCGAACAACCGTGGGGACATTGTCCCTCTGTCCCCACGCTTCCGCGGCCACTGACAGAGACAGCCACAAAGCATTATAATAACTATGGGTAAACAATTGTGATGATTAATTTGGTATACGAGTTCCGTTTGGATTTCAGGTAGTTTTTTTACCGTCTCACAGGTACAAATGTATGAAGTACAGACGGATAAAGAATTTGAGTGACTGACTGAGCAAATATAAATAAATACAAGGAATTCTCGTATAACGAATTCATCTGTCACTTAAAATTCTCAGAATTGTATGAAATCATTTTTCAACTAAGGTTTCGTTGAGTATAAAACAGTATAAACAAGGTCCTAAAAAAAGAGGAAATCTTAGTGAGGTGGTGCAGTTACAACTAATAAATAAAATTAGATTGCAGAATTTTTGCATCACCGCTCTTGGTACAATTTTTTCTGGAAGCAATAATCATTTAAAATATTTATTTGGTCTGTTCGTAAGAATAATAGAATATCCAAATTAATAAGGGAAATTATAGATTAGCTTTTTAGAATTTTTTAAAACAAATCCGTATATAGTTCACAATAGTTTATCAATTATATTTTATCTCAGTAAATTTAGCCCAATTCTCGCAAAATTTCTAGCAAAAACATCTTCTTGAAGTCTCAATTTACTCAGTAAAATCAAGAATTCACGTATGTACAAGCAAAGTTTATAGTAAAAATGGCACCGACAGCGGTGATGCAAAAATTCTGCAATCTAATTTTATTTATTAGTTGTAACTGCACCACCTCACTAAGATTTCCTCTTTTTTTAGGACCTTGTTAAGAATTTACGTAGTGCGTGCCTGTGATTTTTTTTTCTGGAAAATTCAAAACTGAAAATTGGATGTTTTTTGGTTGCGTAATGTGTGTTCAGATACCATAAAATACAATTACTGACTGTTCGAATGGCTATATATATTTTCCAGGAAAATTTGGGTTTTGATTTTTCCTGAAACATTCATAGTGATTTGAATGGTAAATATTTGCGCCACAAACCCTGAAATTTATCTTAATTCGGTCACAAATTTTGTCAAAATTCTTACCGGGTATCCAATCGTAGTAGAGTAATGT